GAATTAAGGCATCTTGGTCCACTAAGTGGAACAGCTTGTGGAGACCATTCTCAGGCTTGCTCAGCGTTTTTTATTCTGATGTGCCAAATAAGTTACAGAAGAACCCCAACCACCAGCATTATCCATCCCGCTTCCACTAGGGAGGTGGCCGTAAAGAAGGGGCAGCCTTCCTTCACTAAGGAGAGGACCCACTGCAGAAGTGAAGAGAGTTCAGGCATGTGTTCCACTACCGGGCTCCGCACTTACACCTTCAGTGCCACAAAGGTTTTCCCAGCCGCATATTTAATGGAAACTCAGTGGGCTGCCCCATGAACAAGCAGAACTGCCTTATGCTTGCCTAGGCGGCTCCTTGTGCCTTCAGTTGGCAAAAGTAACAGCATTCGTGGGATACTCAAGCTCTGTGTCCGAGACAGATTCATTAATGGTAAGGAGTTCTCTGTCAATTACTATAGGGGCAGTCAGTTTTGCACTGCAGACAGAGCCCCTCTCCCTCAAAGCTTGGAGTTTAAAATTTAGTCATATAGAAACTTTCAACAAACGCAAAGAATGCTCATGCCGCAGCATGAGGTGTTTCAACAGCAGCTCTTATCCGATTGACTGTAGAAAACTGCCAGCCTGCAACATGTTCCTGCATCAATACAGCGATCAACTTGGGATTAGACCTTCAGCCTACGCCGCTAGCCTTCAACATGGTACCTTCTGCCAGGTCCTTTACTCTCCTCCCCTTAAGTCATCCTCACAGAGTTCTCCCAGGTAGTAAACCCTTCACGCCCCAGCCTCCCTTCTCACGCTACAGCCTGCGGCCAGAACATCAGAGCATGGTTTGTCTCCTTGCAAACATTCCTATGCTGCTGCTGCAAGCAAGGGAGCAGAGCAAGCAGCGCCTTTGGTAGAAACAGCTGCCTGGCTTCAGAAGGGGACTTCTCTTTGCCAGCCCATCGGTGGCATCTACCGAGAGCCAGACCCACTTTTACAGGTCCTAGCGCAAAAATTCCACTAGTTCTCTTGTCCCTCAAACTTTTCCATCATGGAGGACTCCTAATGGATTTCAGAAGTTTAGTTTCTCTGTAGCCCCAGCAAGTACCAGCCAGGGCAGCTGTTAGTTTTCTGCTGCTGTGTGCTTGAAGACAGCAAGTTTATCAGCGTTTTGCAGTTGGGACCACACGCTTGTTATGGTTCTATGACATGCATCTATTACTTGGAATGCAACAAGTGCAGCGTGCATTTTGCAAGACGGTATCTACCTGCTTTAGAGAGCTACACAGAAGTTAGCAAGCTGCCTGGCAGAGCAGATCTAAAGCCCACTTCTCAGGTGAAGGGGACTGCTGCCAGTTAGAAGGGAAGGAGAAGAGACACCTGAGGGAAGAGAAATAAGCAAGGGAAGTTTCAAGGGAAGTGCAAACAGCAAAGCAATTTGAAGCAAGACATAAGGCAGAATACAAGATAAGGCAGGTTAAAAATAAAGCTTGTAGTTTGGTTTCCATCTATACTTTGCATTTCTACAGCATCTTCATTCTACATTTGCAAGCACTTAAACATTCGGCAATTTAAATGCAGCACAGGCCGTCAGGCTGCTGGTGAGCTATACTGACCCCAGTCTCAAGCCTGACAGTGTCTGGTATAGTTTCAGTTCTTAGCCAGTCATGAGCCAGCATTTACTCCACATTTCTGATTTAAAGCATTTACAAAGTACCAAGGAAATTCAGTACTGACTGAATCAAGTGTTCAGGTGTCCTTTGTCAGTGGCATTAAAAGGCGCAATAAACAGAAAATTCCTGTTCAGGGCTAAAGCACCGAGTCTTTCCTGTGTGGCAACACTCATCAAGTGCTGCAATATCCCTACTCTCAATATCCCTACTCATTCTGCTTTCTAGAATGTTTAACTCCTGACTTGAAAGGCTCTTACTTCATTTTCTCAAAATACATGCTAGTATTTTGCAAGAAAAGCTTTCCTCCTGTCTGTATGGCCATCTGATTTATACCTCAATAATTCAGTTATGCTCAACAGCTTTACCGAGATCCCTATACTGGGTGGGATGAGAAAGCGCCATGCAGGACATGGCAGCGTTCGTTGTGACCTGTCACAAAGGGCTTTAAAACCTCAGCTGGGAGGCTAAACTTGTAAGGCCAAAGGATTGTTCAGCTGACAGCTATTGAGGAGTCAGGAGTTTGCATCATGTGTAGCTTTAGACAGAGTTGGCTACAGTGTCATTACAAAATATTTTCAGATATAGCAAGTGATCTGTGATAGCAAAGTTTTGGACTGGGATATAGCAGAATGTAGTCATTAAAGATGTGTCTATCACGTGCTGCGTGTGTGTGAAGGAAGAACCAAAATTTGCTTTGCCATGATGTAACTGGTCTAGGATTACACCCACACCGTACCATTACCAGCAAGGAAGCTCACACCAGTTCCTATCCTTTGTGTGCGCACAGCTGGAACGCTCTTCTACGCTGCTAGTGGGACTGAGGCGGGACCCCTGGGGTGCCATTTCAGCCTTGGTGGCACCAGGAGGGGACTCGCTCAGGGTCCACCACAGGTGCATTCCCGTATATGCTGCGAGCTCCAGGTACAGGCCAGAGGCCGTTCCCACCAGAGAGGGGCCCTGCCAGTGCACTGAGTCCGACTGGAACGTGGCCGCACGCCCTGAGCTGTTAACATTCAAACTGTTCCAATACTACAACTATGTGCCTAACACTAAAGCAGCATAATTCATGTGACAATTAATACAGACAAAATCTAACTGATTCTGAAGAAAGTTTACTCCTCCTCCCCGCCTAGCCTTGGAAAGCAATTTTTTCTAAAACCAAAGTAGCCTGATCCTGAGAAAGCACGGGAAGTTACTGTCATTCACTCATTCTGATTACATCTCTGCTTTATCACTACAGGGTACTTGCAAGACTCGCCAGTGTCCAGATTCCATTGCTCTTGATATTTTAGAAGTAGGTACAGCAAAGACTATCCAGAAAAATACATTCTCAACCAAAAAGAAAAGAAATGTTTGGCTTTCAATAAGTGTTTTAAAAACCATACTGTATTTTTACAGCATTGAATATTCAGGCCACATGATGGTACTAGATCCTGAAGATAAACACTATCTCCACAGTCAAGTCTGACAATTAAGTAACAGTTCAGTATGATTCAGGACATAAATAGTAACTGGTTGCTAACCTGTGAGGTATCCTGCTGTTTGAGTCTCAGAAATGAACAAGTCATGTTTCTGATCCTTGAAGGCACTCCATACAGAAGAACGAGACAGAATTTCATTTACCTACAGTATTTGAAGAGATTAACACAGTGAGCAAGTGACAGCTGTAATGATCATGGGGAACAAACTCATTTTCTAGAGCCAAACCATTCTGAAGGGATTACCAAGCAGCACAGTAGTAGTTTAGGCTGTGATACAGAATCACACATTTCTAAGGAGCCTGTTTTAAGTTGCTTTTCTGTTTGAATTGTGTGGCTGAACACACAGTGCAGAAGGCTCATAAAGAAAAGTCACTTGGCAGCTTGACTTTCTCCCTTATTCCCCAGTTAGGCAACAAGGAAAAGCAACCCTGCGAGCAGCCACTTTGCCACACGTCTAGAGCTGAGGTAGAACAGGACTCTTCCCGTACTATAGCGAGGTAGGGCCAACTTGGAGGAAAGACGTATCCCCAGTTTCCCTCCCTTTAAGAATGTTTTCAACATAAAGATATGAGAAAGGCACCAAGAACCAGCACAGTTACTGGGACCAATTTTACCACCTTGAATATACATCCATAACACTGCTACAGTTGTCTACATCAGTATTTATCCAGGAAACAAAAAAAGCATTTAAGTTTCTAACAGAAGTTCTGAAGAGTTACTAATAGAAGCCTACAAAGTTATAGAACATTTCTGCACTTGGGACTTGCCTTTTCACTCGTGCTCTTCACATGCATTGAACCAACGACGTCTCCACAAGAGATGGAGACGTTCCAGCCCATAACAACTTTGTAGTTATGCGATGTTAAGGTTTTAGGTAGAATGATGCACATGACAGCCGTAAGACTAAACAAGCAGTGTTCTGAGTTTGACCTTCCCAGGGTACAAAGCCCAGTTCAGGACTTGTCAGTACTTACCTGTTCTCCGTACTGCAGGCTGCGAGACATGGATTTCAGAGCTTTAACAATCTGAGCTTTTGTTGCGGATGGGCTTTCCAGGTTCTCAAGACCAATACCTTCAAGGAGCTTCAGAAGGTAAGGGACCAAATCTGCTTTCAAAGCCTGCAAACATACCCAAATGAGTTGTCTTAACAGGGACTAGGAAGTCCCACACAGATGTTTTACATCACTAGCATTAGCATGAACCACAAGTACCAACAGCTATTACCAAGTACGTTTCGCTAGTCAGCTTCCCCTGAGCTGTATAAATACATACAGGGGAAAGCAAAGATACTGTCCAGCAGTGGTGCTCTGTCTAGGTGTAAACTCAGTTAAATTAGCTGGCATTCCTACGTTAGGCTTTCTCAGCGGACACAGCCAACACTATCCTATGCATTAAGCTTCAACGCTCAGGTAGCATCCTGGAACAGATCTGCATTTTGGATAGAGGACTGACTTCTGACTTCTCCAATGTGAAAGGCACGTTAGTTAGATGGCTTCTGGGAAGCCTCTGGACACTGAAGTTGAATGGTACCTCTGTTCTTATGAGCAGGTTAGATAGACAAATATAAAAATACCACATTTTTACAGACTGAGAATATACTACTTACTTGGGCTACTAAGTCATTTTGCTCCTTCTGAAACATTCGATTAAGTGCTTCACAGGCTACACCAATTATATCCGATCTCTTTTTCATTCCATTCATGAGAGGGCTAATGGTCTCTAGCGATGCCATTGCTCGAACACAAAGCTATAGAGAGACAGAAACATCCAGAGTACTTTATTTTAGGCTAAGCTCGACCGTTACTGGCAGATAGTCAGCTAAGACCATAAATTTCTCAGTGTCTTTAATCTATTGGTTCCCCGTTAATTAGCTGTAAGTCCCTGCTCACCTGGTACCCAGTATTTATAGGCAGAATAATGCCCTTCTAGGAACACTACTAAACAATACAAATAACTCCAGTTACGCCTTTTTCTCTCCTTGACCACTTAAATGATTCGGTACCTCATTGTCAGACAGTATGTGCATGACACGAATGGCACTTTTAGGAATGGCGTTGTTCTTGTGATTCATAGCTTGGATTATCTTGTGAAGATGCCCAAGCGGAGGAACTTGATCAGCCAGCTGAGGCTGGGCACTGAACAGGCACACAGTTGCTGTGGTAATGGTTTCTAAAGTTTCCCCCTGCAAAAAACCAAAATCCAACAGAAAATGTAACTCAGTAAAGTCTTATGTGTCACCAAATAGCAACATTTTTCACTTGCTCTGTCACATTACATTTTTTGTTCCTTAACAACTTTATCATGTCACTTTGCTTTGAAATTGTTAAAACAAGAAGTTTAGAAGAATGTGACCAGCTCCAACAGTGGCAAGCATTCACTGGTTTCATGAACACAGATCTCACAGAAGTTTCTAAGCTCTACTTGCAGTACCTAGAGAAGCCAGCATCTGGCTGCGGCCTCTGCAGGCACAGCAGCTCATGTGCTAACCTGCTCAGTGGAAGCACAATAGCACCGAAGTTGAGGCTGGCCACCTGAAGGCCTTAATGGGTTCTGCAGTCTGTGCAGCAGCACTCTCCACACTTGTGGTATTCTGCATGCCCACACAAACTGCTACCACATCTTTATTAGAGATGCCTGTTTTACTCAATGTGCAAATTAGCTGCCTCCCTGCAAGGCTAACCCAGAATCTGTCTAAACACTGTTTCAAATTCAGTTATGAGTAATAGCATTAAGTGACTGACTTGAACATTGTTCTCATTTAAACTGTAACACGTTAGCTCTACTAATTGTTAGGTGGTAGCCTTGTATAGGTCACGTAATTTACACCAAAGTGTGAAGTTGGTGTTACAGGACATTAAACGCGTCAAGAGCTTAAAATTTTTAGGCAGTGTAGAACAAGCATTGTTTTCTTAGGTTGGTCAGTCATGGAATAATTAAAGACAATTCCTTTGTTAAGCCTCATCTCTACCACAAAACAAGCCTCCAGACTTACTGAAGCTAGTTCTGTGGCTTCAGGGACCTTAAAAGCACTGACTGGCTTTCAGAAGTTGCCTAAACATCTCTCTATGCTTTTACTGAGTTAGAAAGCAGAAAAAAAATCATTCATGTTGGGAAGAAAGTGTGAGAATGAAAGTTAATCAGATACTAACATACTAGTAGCTTAAGAACATTAAACAAACTCAAAGAGCAGAATCAGAAAAATCATCTTACATGGGGGTTATTTTTCTCCAGTAGTTCAGTAAACTTTTCCAACAGTGCAATGAGAAATTCTCTTGGTTTCCGTAAAACCCAGGCCGGCTGGGCAATAAAAATCCTTAGGAAGACTCCCCCCACTGAAAGTTCACCTTCTGCTTCACCATACACCACAGCAAAGTCTTCAGGCAGCTGTTGAATTGTAAAGTAGGAGGAGTTACTGGCAAGGGTGTTTGAGAGCTGTAACTTTTTCACTAACATCATGACTACAATTGGTAACGGTCACTGAACTAACTGTATTCTTCAAAACAGACCTGTGCAAGATCAACAAACGCTTCATCTTGAAGAAACATGAGGTAAGAAGTGAGAATAGAGAGAACAGTGCAGGCAGTACTGCTACACTGGACTTTTTTTCTTTCCAAAGAACACAAGTAACTAAGTCTACAACTACACTAGTGGTAAACACTCATTCAAGAGAAGTACCAGCAACAAGGCTGATAGAACAGCCCCCTCCTTTCTTTCTTGCACGCTTCCGGGGAAGGTTTCTCACCATTAACATAGGGAAGTTTCCAGTTTATGTCTGCAGCAAAACAGCCATCCTGCATGTGTTTAGAATCTGTTTTCATGTTGAACTAGACCACTGTTGGGAGGAAGTCATTCCTGGCCTTTCACAAATGTTGGTAAATGCTATAGACTGAAACAACTCTGATTGACCTGATGTTATGGAATGGCTCAGGCCAACAATTTCTGAGGCTCAGTGGCTTACTAATGTTCCTGAACATTTACCACGACCAAGTTTACTACAGCTAGGTAGTAAGTGACTTTTTCCAGGAAACTGGTATTGTCCTTCGTTGCTGGCTTTTGACCTGAACTATCACAAAATTCAGAGTATTACTGGCAAACCCCACAAGTGTCTGATTTCAAGGTACAAGAAATAACGAAAGCAATTCAATGTTAAAACAGTTATGTTAGCACAGCAGTGAGTTCCTGTTGGTACTTTAAGAGGAAAGCCTGTCAGAGTTACACACATGCATATATTATCTGCTGGCTTATAGCCTCCCTGGACACACCCAAAGCAGAAACAGTATACTTTTACCTTCCAGTTAGTGTCAGGGTTGTCCCTCTGAAGTTTAAAGTGCCTTTAAAAAGAAAGTATGTTTTAACAAGCAGTAAAAGCAGCAGTCAGTTGTCTTCCCTACTTGACACCTCAGTCTCCCTCCATAACTGTGAAGTAGTTCCAGTTCCTAAGCCCCATTTTCTCCTCATTGTAACCCCCTCCCAGATCTTACAGCAGTGAGCAAATACCTGGATTGTGCACAAACCGCACTTGCATCACTGAGTTACATGTAAAATATACAGTGAACAAGTTTCACTGAAGTCTGGCTTGCAAGGATTCTACTTTTTACAGGCAGAGCTCTGTCTCACACTTCTATAGCAGCTCTGGTTTACTGCCACTAAAAGAGTGTCTCAGTTAAGGAAATACTTAGTCAGTAGGTCTCCACATACTCAAGCATCATTTCTCGAACTGTTGTCGATACTCTCTCCCTGGAGTTGTCATTCCAAATTAATTCGGGATTTTCATGAGTTCCCTCAAAGATATGAACAGCAGCTTCAGGGTTGTCCCTCATGGCATCCATGAAGACTCCAGGTAAAAATTTCATTAGTGTAATTCTAACCTAGAAAGGATTAACAGAATTGACATGTAGTACACCACAAGTCAAACTAACAGACGGAAAAAGAGAGAACTCTGGGAAGTCCAATTATTTGTAGTGCTATAATGCCAACTGCTACAACACACCACCACAAAATAGAACAGTGCTATCATGTTAAACAGCAACAGCCCATGACAGGTCTGAAATCTAGGTATCTAACGTTAAAGTCATTACAAATGGAAACCAAACTGCTTATAGTAGTTACAGTAAATACAACTGCTTCTAGAAGTCTGCTCACAGAATAAAAGTTAGCAATTTTGAAAAAGCCAGACTGCTCTTCTAATGAATGTTTCAGTCACAGAAGAGTTTTTTTTTGTTCCATCTTCAGAGAGGCCGGTAATATCAAGATAAGAGTTCCACAAGAGCCATTAAGATTCTTACCTTTGGACCCACCAGCTTATCTGCAGTCATTTTGGCAAAGAGCTCTGCTGTTTGGGCTCGGACCTGCGGATGGGTCGAGTTGCAAAACATGTCTAGTAAGTAGATTAAAGCACCTATACAAAGAGACAGGAAAACATTCACATTTTTTTCTGGTCACAAGTAGTATGAATTCACCAATTCCACACTGACTGTTCTAAAGGGAAGAGTAGGATTTGGCCACTGTATTTGCTTTAAGTCCAGTGCTGCAGAAAGGTTTGCTTTCAACGTAGTACTGTACCTTTTGCCATGGCCTCTTTAATTATTTTTGTGCTAGACGTCAAAGCATACAAAGTTTCAAGGACGAGTTGCCGACCTGTCAAAAGAAAAAGTATTAAGAACTTTGTACCATATAGACTATTAACCAATCAAAAGTCAACTAAACTGATCTTAACAGGAAGCTGCATCAAAACTGCAGTAAAGCTCATGACAATTGCAAGCTTAAAGATTTCTGGCTAAATTGACTTAGTTAAGGAACGTCAGATCAATCACATTCTAGTACAGCATCAGTCTTTAATTAGATGTTTACTACCTAAAGGAATTAGTCAATGAAATACTACGCAATTCAAACACAAATTCGAACACCTGCAATTCCTATGTGTCAGCTCACACATTTAAGACAACAGGTTACACAGAACATTTTTTTAATCATTCCCACTAAAATGCTGTTTTAACCCAAAACTTGCTAGTAAATTCAGCCAGCTGCATTTAATTAATTTCTGAGTTGGAAACCCTTTACCTTGCAAGACTAAGAATTACATGGTACATACTTGAAGGTAAGGAATGCAGGAGTGCCAGTAAGTTAGCAAGAACCATTGCCTCAGCAATATTGTTAACACATTCTTGGTTACTTGTTACTATGTTCACTACCTGTAAAAGACCAGAAACAACACTTGATTATATTCCAGCTGTTAAGACATTGTCCAGAAAATACAGTGTAGGATGAAATCAGTCGCCTCACTGGCCAATATAGCCAGTATTTATGATGTTTATCCCTGCCACCAAATTGTCTTATCACCCCAGGGAAGAAAGGAGCAAAGACACAGACAAGAAGCTATCGCTTGGTCCTCCAAGGAGGAACTGACACCTTGGAACCCCGATCTTCATACTTTTCAGGTGCTACTTTTAACAGTTACACAATCAGGTTTGTTTATACTGATGACATAGAGTATGCAGACAGGGTGGGGTTGGTTTTGTTTGTTTCATTTAGTTTTTTTTACCTCCAGAGCCAACTGCTGCACCTGGCCAGCTCCATGAACACGCAGAAGGGAGAATATCAACTTAAAGTGACCTATGCATTCACACTCAGAACCTGCAAGAGACCAAGTAAGTTACTCTCTTCATGTTAGCCAAAGCGTTCACTGAAGTCCATCCCAAGCCCACATTTCACTGCAGAGAGAGGTGTTAAGCACTACATGTCTGCGTATAGTCTGCCACAGCTCCTACAGGCCAGCACCTGCTACAGAATTAGAAAATTATGAAGTCTTGTCTATTAATCTAGCTTTCACAAAGTCTCAGGTCAACAATATTTCAAAAAGAGGAGATACTTCCTCCCTCTAAGGCAAGTAACCGAGCTAGTTCTTGGACTACTTGCATTCTTACAAGACAACTAAGCGAGTTCAGTTATTTTATTTATCATTGGTTATCAGTACTTCTTGTCTTCAAATACTTGCCCTTTCTGATTATCTCAGCTCGGAGCAGGGTTGCTATCTGCAGCAGTAACAGCTGCCTTCAAGGTTATAATTGCCCAATACAGATAATCCAGCCTGAGAACCACCTAACTGCCCATTATTAGAAGCCGTGATAGCAACATGAGTTGCTTTTAGAACTAATATACAATACAGTAGGAAAACGTCTTAATTGTGTGTCCAGGCTTTTCCAGTCTGTACACTGGTATCTGCTCATAAGTCTTTTCTGATATTAGCCACCCACTCAAGAGCATTTTCTCCTCCTGCTTTAGTAATGCCATGACATGTTTTTAGGTGTTTACTAAAAAGCAGTCCTCAGCTCAAGGGTGTTCTTTTTGGCTTTTTTGATACAAGGAAGTTTAAAAAAAAAAAAAAAAAAAAAAAATCGGCTAAAATTCTTTTGAAGGATTACAAGAAGTTTCATCCAAGAAGTTTAAGTCTTCCTAGCAAGAGCAGGCTAGAATTAGAGTTAAACCCCAGTGTTTCAGAGAAGAAAATAGATAAGGCTTGGATTTCACACAAAACTTTAATACATCTACTGATAATGTTCTCTGGGGGTGGGTGGAACAAACAAAAATGAACCAGCAAGCCTATATGGCTTATCAACAACGCTGAAGTCTGTTAGCCAGCAAAACAAGCTTCCTTCTGGCTGGAAGACAGACTACAGAGGTCTGCATTTTTTAAGGTTGTCCACAAGAAAGCCTATCAGGGAAGTTCATTTTTAAGCTTACCTGGGTTGTGTTTTATCACGTTTCTCAGAGCCTCCAGGGCCATTTCAACTCTCCTTAACCGATCTCCATGTTGATTGGACTCTACTTTCCCAGTCTGCGTTATTGCCATTAGCGTATGGAGGTACTGTGCTTGTGAGCCTATGTAATCCAAGAGGCTTGCAGCAAATGCTTTAGGAAACTTTAAATTAGAGATGAAAATGTTTTTAGCTCTGTGATGCAACAGTATTCACACTAGAAAAAAGTGTATCCAAATAACTTGTCCTACATTTCACATATCCCTTTCTTCCAGGCAGGCAGGCAACACTTTTCTACTCTGATCATTGTAACATCTGGAGCACATTAACCCTATTTATATTTAAACAAACCCTGCAAAACCTGCCACTACTTCAACAGCATTCTTAAGATGTATGTTTGTCCACCTATATAGATGGACAGCACAGCCACTAGGCAGAACCACTACCTCCTGAAATTACTGAATAAACCTGAGTCTCTACAAGCTTGCACTGCAGACAAAAGGCATTAAGCCATCCAAAGCAGCACATCTTATGGCAAACTCATTGTTCTATTTAATTTATTCTACTCCAATAGAGAGATATCCCGTAAGCATGCTGATCATGTTGAAGGCAACTTCCGTAAGATTTCACATTTTCTCCATTCTGTTTGCATTAACAGATAAAGAAGGAACATTACAAACATAGTTTCAACAGGAAGAAAGAACATTCCAAATATAGCTTCAACAGAAAGGTTTTTAAGCTACATCTCACCTCTAGTTGGAAGGTAGGAACCTCATTGTAGACTCTAACAAACACCTCTCCCACAATAAGTTCCTTTGCATGGTCACTGAAGACAAAGTCAGATCCGTAGCTCTTGTCACAATCACCCTTTAGGCAGAGATAAGCAGCACAAGCTCAGACAGGAAGTAATCTTGTAGAAAGTGTAAAGCTATAACCCAATAATGAAATAGACAGTACTTGAACAGAAAACTTAAAGCTTTAGCAAAAGTCAGAAGCTCAAGACAGATTGAAACATAAGCATGCAAACTCTTCGGTTTTTTGTTTTCTTTCTAAGACTACTGAATGAAGGAAGCAACTTGGGAGTAGACAACAACGGATACTTGTATTAACGATACCACTGTATTACAAGCAGCTACACCAGAACACAAAATAGTTTAAAAAATAGTAGTGGGATGTAAAGTAAAGAGTATCTTACTCTTTTAATCATGCTTTCTTGTTGAGATTCCAAAAACTCAAGTAATTCGGCTCTTGTCCCATTGTTCCAGATCAAGTAGGGGTTCTCAGTGTTACTGTTAAGCATCTTGAGAGTCTAAGAAATAAGGAATTTACATGATGTGACACATTTATAACTCAGTTCTGGATCATTATGCACAGTAATCAGTGTTTCATGATACAAGTTAATCCAACCTCATTAACAACTAAACCAATTTCATAAGCAGGTTTAAAGCATCAAGTTGTCCACATACTAGGAAAACAGCATGTGTAAGTTATTTGGTACCATACAATCCATATTTTATTTTTTCTTTATTCTGCTTGGAGCTACACTTACTTCTGATTCTCTTATTTTTGACAGTAAGCAGCAACTACCTACAGCATCTCTTTGCAGATGACTTCCTTGGCACCATTAAAAAGAATAGTTTAGCCTTTGCTCTCCATTATCACTATATATCCTTAAGCCTTCAATTACCTCACCTTCTTTACTCCCATTATTTGTTTTGCAAATATTATTCTACAGGGTACTGTTCCTGCCCATAGTATTTGAGGCTGAAACAGTTTTTCCTTGCAATTACTTAAACTGCAAAGGAAAAAAACCAAACCAAAACACACTGCTGTTCTCTGCATGAGGTTGGTCTAGGAGAGTTCAGCGTTTTACAGGTGACCCAGTACTCCTTCTGTAAATCACCAAGGAAAATTTTGGCCAACAGATGCTTACCTCAGTAGGACTGACCACAGCGAGTTTCCTTGCAATATAGGGTGTCAACATTCCAGCCAAGCTTTTCCTGATTGTTGGGTTTTCGGGTGTAGCTTGTTCTTCAGAGAGATACCCTCCGAGGCGACTCAAGGCCAGGAGACTGAGCTTAGCAAGGCTATTCGCTACCTCCTGAAAAATTCAGAGACAGTTATAAAAAAGCTAGAGCTTACTGTAGAAGTATTTGAATAGCTAGAGTTGTCCAACACTTCTGCACCAGAACTGGTATCTCCTATTTATCTGCATCGCTAGTCACACACTGATGTCTAATAAGACACTAGGTGCTGCACAATATGACCACTGTATTGTGGTCTTAAGCAACACAGTTAGGCATGAACACTGATATGTAGGAAAAACTGGGGCATCAAGGTGAGCCAAAAGCTTACAGAAGCTATTTAGTGTAATAGCTTCTGGCCAGCCAACAGCTCCTGCTAGCACAGTCAAATATCAGCATAAGCCTTTTATGACAGTGATACAAGAGTTAATAACTACAATAGACTGTTCAAAGCTCACCTCATCTAGTAGCTGAGGAAGAAGTGCCATACTTAGAGGGTCACTATTTAAGGAAATGAAGTGTGAAGCCATTTACATAGCTGTGAGGCAAAAGGACAATACGGTCCTAAGGCAGACATTTCAAGTAAGTTCATGGTGTTGCTAGATGGCCCCTTCAGTTGAGCCTCAAAAGAAAAGGACTTTTTCTTCTGATAGCACAAATTTACTTTTTCATTGTTCACCGTAGATAAAAATCCCTTGCACTAAGTCAATTAGAAACTATGGGTTTGGCAGCTTTAACATTTGAACTCAAAACATAAGCTACTTTTTTTAAAAAACAAAAACAAAACAAAACCAAAACCAACCATAAACACAAAACCCAAACAGTATTTACACTACTAGACAAAAATCCCCTTCAAAAACTGCTTTGTTAACATTATTGTTCATGTAATTCAATGACTAATGAGTATTTGAATACACTTATTTTGTTAATAACAGATGGCAAGCAACAGCCATTGCTGTCTGGAAGCATGCAACTTGTTAACAGTACCTGGTGATTTGAATCTTCACTTTTCTGAATACCGCTCTCTTCTAGCGTATAGTCATAGTTGAAGAGGTAACCCAGTAAGTACCAGAGAACTCCAGCTTGGAACAAGTGCGTTTGTAGCCAGTAATCTAAGGCAAAGGAGCTAACACACTCCACTCCCAAAGAAGCTACTCGCGGTATGTTCTGTGGAAGGAAAAGAAGTTTGCCTTAGTACTTGTGACCAAGGAAAGCCAACTGGCTTCCTTACCAAACAAAGGCTTAAAGCCAAAACTTGCTAATGCTAGAGTACTATCTGAGCAGCAGAGAGATGAAAACCGAAGTAGACAGAACAGTATCTGCAGCTGAAGTTAAGTGTCTGGTAGCCTTTAAGAAACATGGCTCATTAGTCAGCATCCTTCAAAGGAAGAGTGCTTGAATAGTTATTTCATACAATGAGAAAGAAGCACTGGTGAACTGGTGGAAAAACAATTCAAGAAGGTGGCAGAGATTCCCAGGCAAGCTTTTCATGTGCTCTGCAGGGACTAAAGAACAGACAGGCGCTTATAGTCCATTACTATAATCTGGTTTTGTAGTATTCTGTTTTCACATACCCCATATGAAAAGTTCAAGACAAGTTTTCCTTCCTTAATTCAGACAAAATTTGGCATTTATATAACATAAGTTCTAAAGAGCTAAATGGCAAAAAAACCTTCTTAAATACTGTTCCTAGACTCCTAAATGTCCTTAATTCAGACAAAATTTGGCATTTATATAAGTTCTAAAGAGCTAAATGGCAAAAAAACTTCTTAAATACTGTCCTAGACTCCTAAATCAGCATAAACTCTACCTGCTTTGCAAGACCTAGCTCTAGTACTTTTATCCGCTGATTTAGTACAGTAAACCAATCAGCTAGACCTAAGTCAGTTAAAAGGCAAGAACAGCTGAATCTTTGTAGTGATTGTGTTTTAAGTCCACTAAATGGATTCAAATACAGGCATTGAGAACAAGGCAGTGAGTGTTCTGTATCCCACAATGATTAGCTGGGATCTTACAGGAGGGTTTGATCAGCCTCTGCAATTGTCCTATCTCCCTTAAGAACAGAACAGTCCCCTAAACATTTAACAGTTAAATACCCATTTAGGCAAAGGAAGGGAGCTCTTACCTTGCCATAATACAGTAGCCTACAGAGGTCCTTAATGATGTTAGGCATTTCTGTAATCTTCTCTCTGCATTCCTCAAACTGAGCTGCTACGCTGTAACACTTACTAATATATCCACATACCTAAAAAAAGCAATATTTTATTGGTTCCAAGTGGAGGGGAAAGGCATGCTTACAATCCTATTTTTTAATAGATATAACACTATACCAGTATTTTAAATTATATACACACACTTCTATGTATTATCATACTATATGTACATCATATTATATAGTCAGTCTTCTGAGAAGCTCATACAATCAAAGTTGCTGCAACTTACCTGGACAGACATATCATCTGGTTTGCTAGAACGAGTCAAGACCGCTACACAACGGTTAAATGCTTCTTGCAATACCTGTAAGGATCAGGTGATGCGTAAGTTCAGTCACAACAAAAACTGATAAAGGCTGGCAGAAATTAAAAATGGGTTTATCAGCTAATGTTTTATGTCTGAAGGGAAACATTTGACAAAATCTGCCGCTTGCTCAAATGTTTTGTAGGGGCAAAATTCCTTGCAAGTACTGGTACTAGCATTTGGTGCTTTCGAGTCGATAGCATTCTGACATGCAAGCTAATATGTGCAAGGAAAATCCCTTCTGCTGAAGTGACTTGTTCACATTTATTCACATACAGAACGCAGAAGCTCTCAATAGAGCTCTATAAAGAAGAGAAACATCACATGTAGTTTGCTTTTCCACAGTCCAACAGACAAGCCTATGTCCTCCAGAAAGGGGTATATTCTGCAAGAGGCTTCCCCTACTGCATCCAGAAAAGAGGCAGTAAGAATGCACAAGAGTCTCAACAAGACCAAAGCTGATTCTCAATTGCATCTGATGTTCTGTGCATTGAGGATCTATGATTTTTAGCTGTGGAAGAGTTAGACTAAAAAAAGAATTTGTTTCAGTAAGTTTCTTTCCATTCACCTCAATTCCATTTTCTCTTCTCAGTTCCTCTGCGTTTAATGCTGAACAATTGACAGTATGGAAAGCAAGTTCCGTAGCAGCAGGTAACAGAGGAGATTCTTTGGAAAACAAAAGGTCATCTGATGTTTCAATGGTAATAGTCTTTATCAGCATAGGATAGCCTGCATACTTGTAAGGTTTCAACTCTGAAAGAGAAAAAAAAAGGTTGAAGGGGAGAGAGAGAGAGAGAGAGAGAGAGAGTCTAAACATTTTAAATCAGCACATAATTATCAGTGGAAGATATATCAGATATATAGGGACTGGGAGTCAAAGAAAGCCAACACCTGGGAAAACTGGAGCAAGACTGAGCAGTCCACACAATCTGACTCCTTATCACGTAAGACCATTCATGCTAGAAGCTGACAAAGCTTCATGGAAAGAACTCATTTAAGATTAAAAAGACTTCTCTCCAGCTCAGCAAGCCCCCAAGCTCAGAGCCTTCCAGATGATGCATGTCTGTCCCCAAAGAAACACAAGTATAGCTTTGTCTCCCTGTCTTAGGCCATGACTGTCTAACAATAAGCCTATAAGGACATTTTCCAGTTTGATGTGGCAATTGTATGTTTTAAATAATTATATTTTTCTTTCCTTTAGGGCTCAGCAGTGCTAAAGAACAATTTCATCTTACAGTGTGGAGCCAATTGCGAGCTGACCTACATAAGTCTACAGTAATGTTGTCACTGCCTCCACACAACTGACAAAGCTATGACTGCATAGGAGGTTCTTAGTTTACCATTACAATCTAACACTTACGTAGCAAAACACTGTTGACTCTGCAAGTCCCCCAGCCAGGGACTGTAGCTAGAGCCAAGGGTTGGGGTACTCTAGCTCTAATCTCTCTCTTTCCTAGTTGGGCTGTGAAAGAGGTAGTGTTGCAGTACACTCACCAGCGGACTCTAACACTAGTCAGAATTTATGCAAGTTTATCTCATTTTTTAATAGCCACATGAGCATAATCTCATTTATATCCAGAATCTGCCATTTGGGTGACTAAGTCCTAGCTAGGACTTTTCTGCATAAGCAGAATTGTAATTTTAAGTTATATATGGAGGAAGATTCAAACTGATTAGTATTGGTGCAAAGAATTTCAAGAAGCTATTCAAGCTTTTTTTGAATTAAGTTCTACTGCAAATGAATTTATTTCATGGAAGAAAGAGTCATACTTTGAAGCCCTTTACCATAGCTACATAATGCCATGGCAAGGCAGAAACCAGGTCAACATAATGGACTCAAGAACAGAAGAGATTAAAACTGACTGTAATGGCCACTAAAGAAATGAATATAAAACATGCTTCTGAGAGAACATGCTTACCTTCCTTATGCCTGTTGAAGAGGATGCTTTGAGTTTTCAAGATCAAAATGATGTTTTCTGGATCTGGCCCATCTATCACCTTGGCAGACTTTGTGCATAGGAACTCATACGCTTTATTCACTTTTTCAAACATATCCTGCAAATAGAGAGAAACAGTCTTAAGAGTTGCTAAGAACTCCCTAAATTACTGCAAGCCTGCAGCATCAGTTTACATGCAGGTAAAACAAAGCATTCCAGGTTATTAGCCACAGTACTAGTTTTGTTGCCTTATTACACTTAAGAAAATACTCTGAATAACCTTAAGAACACCGGTTTACAGATCAGTTTTCTTTTGTCTCCTGAACTCCGTCATAGGCAAGAGGCTAAAGCTAAGTCAATTCCACTATGACAAAAGTACAGCTTAATTGATTGTAACAATAGGCAGAGGATGCAGCCTGTCTTTGAAAGGGAGCAATTAGCTTATTTAGGTCCTGTATAACTCTTTAAGCCAGATGCTTTCCGAGATGTGGGTCTGACCTGATTAAATCAGTTTACTGTAGAAATACTAATATTCCTTAGTTGACATCAGTTAAATTACTCATCTGTAGTATTCATCTGTATTCTAGTATTCATCTAGGGCATAGCTTTTACAAGGGAGAAAGAAAATATAAGTGGGCGCTTCAGAATTCTTAATACATGTAACAGCTGAATTTGTCCCCACTTCATTAACGCCATAAATTTGTATTGTACATACCCTGCCTTCTGGATTCTTGTCTGGGTGATATTTTTGTGCCAGCCTGAAATAAGCTTTCCTGATCTTGCTTTCATCATGCCTACAAGGAAACAAGTCCCATTACCTTGAATAACAAAAAAACCCAGAAATACAAGCCTGGATTCTGACAACAGTACTACTAGTAACTGCAATTAAGTGAAAAATACAAAGCTCTCATATTTCAATTTGAAAATCCCACTTCATCAGCTGACACTGAATGGGGGTAATCATGTGGCCACAGAGTAGAATTTTAGAAACAGAAAGTATTTTAGTACCTCTTGTACTGAATATACTAAACAAAAGGTGTTCAAAGTCCCTGAATCTTCTAAATGAAGAGTCTAAAAGATCAGTAAGTGGTAAGAGTTAGTAGTTCACGATTTGTAGTAACGGCACTGTTCTTGAAGGATAAATACAAAGTGTGGTCAGTTCTCTTCTAGAGGCCTGAAGTCAGAAACCAATGGCAAGATAGGAGGTAAAATATCCCAGGGGTATTACCACCAAGAAAAAGGACAATATTTGGCATGTTCAAGTTCTGCCATATTCTTTGCTTGCTATGGTTGAGTCTAATGCTTGTCCTGTAAAACGGCCTAGTGAGTGTTTTGAAGCAGAGCTCAAAGCGTTTTTTTTCCCCCCCCAGTTTGCATTTGTCTGAACACTTTATAACTATTCTCTCAAACACTGGAGTTTGCTTTATCTAAAAAGAAACAAAGCCTGAAAAATCCATCTTCCACTGTGGAAAAAGTAGGTGCTAGACATAACTGACCTAGTACCAGTAATTGTTTGCAGGTACTGGGATAAGAAACTGAAGTGTACAGAGGTTATGTAGATGTACTTATACAACTTTATATACTGAAAACAACTTACTGGCCTTGCCCTTTGGGAAGGTTAAGGACTTCATAAGCATCATCTATCGACATGGTAGGTGGCTTCTTTTCTACCTCCTTCTTCCAAGCTTCTAGTGTATCCTTCAATAGTTTAACCTAAATAATTGCAACTTATTAGTGTTTCATTTATGCTGACACCAGCATACGTCATCTTTATTAAAAAAGTGCTTCTTTAATAATGAGTCCTTATCACTCCAAGTTCAAAGACCTACTCCTTTTACCTTTAGTAATTATGGTTCTCCCTCCAGTCAGGAAGCAATTCAGACTTTGCTTCACTGCAGTGCTATACTTTATTCAAGATAAGAACATCTTAAGATTAAAATGTCTATGTAAGTGTCACATTAGAAGAGGGAGAATCACTTAGATGAGATGCAGTTCACATCTCAATACTACAAAAACTGTAACAAAGCTGCATGAGTAAGTAAAGCTGCCTGCACAGATCTAGACGATAGACTTGTACCAGAAAGATCTCACCAATTCAGTTAATGTACCAATACCAAGTTAGCTCAGTTTCTTGGCCAGAGTGGACAAGTAAGAACCCAAAAGTGATAAATCCTCCCACCCCCAATCACTTGAGGTTCATCGAAACACTATCTGAAGTTTCTTGGATGCTTTATTTTGCTTTTTTAAGTAGTCACCACAAGGAGGGTATACTTAACACGTGGTTGCTATATGGCATGAGGACTATTCTGCTTCAAAATAGTGTTTTGCTTATGAACCAAGTCAGGATGAATCAGTTACTTGCAACAAACCTAGCATTTGATTTCTTTAGGTTTTGTTACAAATCCTACTTTTAGGACTCTGAAAGATTAAGAACTAAATAAATCCTAAAATACTTCTTACTTACCGGATCTTTAATCGGCCAGTCTGGAAATCTGAGTGTATCACAGAGATGCTTGAGGTAATAAATATTACAAAACAGCTCATTTTCCAGTTGTGGATAGTTGATAACTGGGATAGGACAGTATTGGTAGAGTGCTCTTGTATTGCTTTGAAGACGAGGGGTGAAGTCAGCAAGATGAGCAGCAATCTTCTCTATCATAAGACGCCTAAAAGTTACAAAGTTCGGTTTAACACTTGCCAAGCAGTCCTCAATAACTGTGTTCAATGGTTTCTTCTGAAGAGATCTGCCTTAGTAGTTTCCCCACATTTCAGAAGGGATTCAGAATAGGATTCAGTCCTATTCTGTTATAAAGCTGTCTCAATGCCATGACAATTAGTTTATTAAAAACAATGTCATGTGACATTTTGCCCTCCCTCAACACCTCTTTACTTTTTGGGAGACCCTAAAAATGTATTGTGATATTAGAGGTATATCTCCTAGACAGGTGCTGGTAATAAACAAGTACAGTAAGTATAAAGCAGTCCACATAAATAGTGAAGTCTCGCACTCATGAAAGGAACTGAATCAAGTATGAGAGAGGCAGGTGTAAAGGCTGTCAGATGTTCAGGGAAATATTCCCCTTCCTGCTGCCAATTCCACTTCCCCCCACCCCTGCTATTTTTGACAGAAGCAGAGGGCAATGCAAGACATTGCCCTTGCAGAAGGCAAACAGAGGGAAGTAACGAAACCATGGAATCCAGGTATTTGGGGCATTCTTTAGAAACGTCAAAGACAAGATCTCTTCAGCATGAGATGTAGTTCAGATTTGTTTGTCCTTCTGACAGAAAGCAGTTACCTCATTTCATTGCTCCAAATTGCTTCTGGAGTATCAAATTCTCCAAGGAATATCTCAGAAAATTTTTCCGGTTCATAGTTTTCTAAATAACACACCATTGCTTCAGGAAGAATATGTCCAAGTATACTTCTTTGAACTATATCTTGACCTTTTGTCTACAGAAGAGATCACACTGTCATCTCTAAGGTAATCTGAAATCAGTCTTGTTAACCAACCCAATATCTAAAAAACCCTCCCCCTTTGCCCTTATAGTTCTTGAATTCTAACTCTTGAGAAAACTTAAAAAAAAAGAACAAGCATCGAGTATTGTTAAAACAACTACAGGTGGTCTGCAAAGCTATTTGGAAACAGAGGTAGTTACTTTTGCAATCTACTCACTTCTTCAGACTTGAAAGCTTGTTTTGTATGTGTGTATTTCAAAAACCTGTAACAGAAACAGCAGTTATTTTCTGTTTAACTGATATTTAAGGCACTCTTGAAAGCTAAACAGACCAACATAGTCCAGCTGGCAAGCCTCATACATTTACTCTGAGATAAAACAGTTAACAGCAACAATTGAATGAATCTCTGTACAAAGTCCCTCAAATCCTTGGGAGCTGCACCAACTTAAGCACTCCTATGTTAAAAGTGTTCATCGTTTCAGTTTGAAAGTCTTGTTCCCGAAAGCTTGCTTTCTTCGCATACACACACAAAAAAAAAAAAAATTAAGCTGACCGTTCTTTTCCTGCACTGTCAGATCATCATTGCAGGGACGAAACAAGATGATCTTATGCTAACTGCTGACAGTCCTGTTACACTGGAGTCATCATTTCCCAAGGCATTTTGCTACAGAAGAGACTTAACTGAATTGTACAATAGATTTTTATGAACTACTGAATTTAGAGGAAGAGTATTGGAATGAACTGCAATAGCCACCTGCATGTGCAATGCATCTGTGTCAGGCAGTACAGACTGATTTAACTGGTTTAGGCTTCAGTACCAAAACAGGCTATTGGATTTTTCCACCACTTTGATAGCTGCTTGCTATCAAAACTACATTAGCCTATCAGTAGCCTCTATTACTGCTCTTTAGTGCCTGTAATGATTTGTTCTTCTATAATGAGCCATGCCTAGTTGTACTGTTAGAACTACACAGAGTCACAGAATCATTAAATCATAGAATCATTAAGGTTGGAAAAGACCGCCAAGATCATCAAGTCCAACCGTCAACCAGACACCACCATGCCTACTAAACCATGTCCAGAAGTGCCATGTCTACATGTTTTTTGAACACCTCCAAGGATGGTGACTCCACCACCTCTCTGGGAAGCCTGTTCCAATGCTTGACCACTCTTTCAGTAAAGAAATTTCTCCTAATATCCAATCCAAACCTCCCCGGCACAACTTGAGAGCATTTCCTCTCATCCTATCCCTTGTTGCTTGGCAGAAGAGACCAACACCCACCTCGCTATAACCTCCTTTCAGGCAGCTGTATAGAGCAATAAGGTTTCCCCTCAGCCTCCTCTTCTCCAGACTAATATGATCGGGCAGTACTCTCGTTCCCTCCCTGGCAGGGTCATAAGCAATTCACTTTTTTAGTGACCGACTAGACCATGTTGAGGCGACTCTTCTAGAGGATGTCTGCTTGCAATCTTATCTTGGTTCTAGCAGGCCATACTCCGTGGAGTATTTTAGAGCAGCAGTCCTTCTGAGCATGACTGGTCAAGAGGCATTTTTAGCTATTCTTTTTCCTCACCTTGCAATAGGAAGTACATTGGAACCCGTGTACATCATGATAAAGAAGAATACTCCACTCAGATAAAAACGAGGTAACTGAGGGTTATCTTGCATGACATGAAACAGCAATATAGCGACTTTTTCCACAAGGATAGGATCAAAAGTCAGTAATAGCTGAAATCAAACACAAGCATTTACATTAGTTGCTTGAGTAGTGCAAGTTACCTAGCCAAAATTGAAGTTTAACTAATTCAGACTTAGGACAAGACAGTAAACTTACAAGAATTTCAGTTAAAGAATACTTCAGCCCAAAAATAACAAGTTCAAATCACAGAATGTTTAAAGTTGGAAGGGACCTCTGGAGGTCATCTTGTCAACCCCCCCTGCTCAAAAACAGGGTCACCTAGAGCTGGTTGCCAAGGGCCATGTCCAGATGGCTTTTCAGTATCTCCAAGGATGGAAATATTTATTAATGAGATATTGGCTGAAACAACATGAAATTGGTAACAACACCTTGCGAAATAAACAACTGCTTGTCCAGAGATCTGCAGGATGTTACAGATGTCATTTGATGTGTTTGTCCCACTTAAAGTATTCACACAGGGAAGATGGTAGACTTTTGCTCATTTAGATACATTTTTTTCAAGAGTGGCTTACCTGAGTGATATGAGGAAGGCAAGTGCTATCTGACAACAGCCTTTTCACTCTAGGCAGAGGTCTTATAATAGCATTGTCTTGATCCCTAAAAAAAACCACACCAAACAATAGAGTGGCACAGCAGTAAGCACACACGTGCCTTTTCTCTTTCAAGAATGAACAACTTTAAGCCGTAAGTATCAGGCTATTGAGATCATATTCAGGGTCATTATTTTTTTGTTGACTTCAAAGTTTATTGTTAGACTTGATAAGTGTAGATTAATGTCATGCATTAAAGCAGCTTTGTTTTTAAGTTAAACAAAAGCCTGCCTGCAAGAGTAAGACTATGCTGCTGTGCATTAGAAATGCATATTGCTTCTGCATTCATTCTTGTAGTCCCTTTCACAATATTAGTATTGTCTCATTTACAAACTATTTGCCCACAGAATTAATTACTACTATGCAAAAGGCTCTTTAATACAGTTCATTAATGTACTACTTTGTTTTTAAGAAAAGCTTTAAAATAAAATTTATGAATTTATGTGCCTGCCAGAGAAAGTTAGCCACTTCTGCTGAAAATTAGTGTTTACCTGCTGGGAAAATATCCACACATTGTGATGAGCATGTTGAGTACAAGCGTGGCAAGGTCAGTCTCATTCAACACAGGCTGGCCGCTGGCAAGCAAGCACCACTTCAGCTGAGGGATAACCTGTAATGGTCGCCAGCCATCCATACCTTGAGCCCAGCAACGCGTTTTTGAAGTCAGCTTTCCACTGTTCCATAGTTCCTGCATCTATTGCAAGATTAGAGACGAATTTAGTTGATTCGGCATTCAGAGCTACCTTCACTCCTACATATTCACACTCAAGACAAGCTTTTAACTGCTGTATGGCAGACTACTATAGTTGCATGAAACACTAACGTATTTATAATTCTGTCAGGAAACACAAAGTAAAGCTGACAGATTAATTCCAGCATAATTAGGGCATGGAGGGGTACGCAGCTTTACCAAAAAGGTTGCTGTTCTTGGCACAACATCAAGTCTCTTATCTAGCTTTAATCCTTAATTAAAGAGTTACTTTGAGAATATAGTTTAGCATTGTTTACAGTTTTCCCTCTCACTATTTGAAACACGCCCTGTCACCAGGATGGAAATAATTTGTCAAGTTTGACAGTTTGAAGCTGACAGGTACCTCTTGAAAGCTGTAAGGACCACTCCTTTCCTTGTCAGCATTGCCAAAGTACCATTCTTTCTCGCTCTCCCTCTTCATATCAGGTGCCGCCTCAATCACGTTGCTCTAGAAATTGACGTTTATAAGAATAGCTTTAGCTTCAGTGCAAATATCACATTTCTACAGGAAATGTGAGAAGGACACTGTTTTTTTGGGGTTTTTTTTTTTTTGGTGTTTTTTTTTTTTAGGAATTGCCCTTCTAGCAAAGGACGAGAAGTAAGAAACAAAGGCCACATACCTGCAGAGGGACTGTAGCTCTGCTTGTGTGGAGATGTGCCAGAGTAAGCAGATCCACAAGGATTCTAATGCCATTTGAATCCATAAGGTCCTTCACATTTTTCTGTTAATGGACCAATTGAGTTAACACAAGCATTTTCTAGATGAGAGTTGTTACAAGTACTGAACAGTTTTATTCAGGTAAGAAGTGACCATGAGAAAAGTCAAATCATTCTCTAAAGTGACTAGAATGGTACCATCACCACAATATCTACATGTTTCCTTCAGCTTTCTCACCAGTAAATAGCAACTACCACATCCCAGAAAGCTATATCAAATACTGTTTTAAGACTTCCCCAAGACTTGAATTTTTGCCCAGGTTAACCCAGAAAGACTAGTTCAGGCCACTTTATACAGCTGAAAGACAGATAAGCTACTGTTACATGTATATGTCCACCTTACCTTATTAAGGATCAGCTTGTTGAGAAATAGTATCAATCTGTCCCGCTCAAGCCTATCAGTGCACTATTGCAGCAGAAGAGAACAAATTAGTGTTTGACAGCATATATTAGAAGTTGCCTTCAAAAGTCAACACAGTTGCACCTGGAAAGACCCATTTACTTTTTTCATGCCCAGGATAAAACTGCTGACTATTAAGTGTCCAGTTTCATGTGCAACCAATAAATGTAGCTTTCCGCCACAGAGGAGAGGCCTTGTTGCTCTCCACCCCACTTTGATTGCTCTCGGTCTGACACTCAAACCCACTTTTCTGGTAAATCTACTGTTCTAAAGAGACAGTGCTTGGATTCCCCAGTGAGCCGGTTAACACAAATACAAGGGAAAAAGAGAATGCTTTCAGCCAGCAGACAGACTAGGTCTTCAGTGTTACATCTGTGGTGAAGACTATCAAGACCCAACATAACAGGAGACTGCATTGGTTCAGTTTCACGTACAACAGCCTTATCTACACCCCATAGTGATGTAAGCAAAGAGCCCCCCTCCTTCAGACTGCATGGAAATGTATTTTTGCAAGCTGTATCAGTTGTCAGATATAGCTTAACAGACACTTAATAGGCAAAGTAGTTACCACTAAAAATCTAATCCATCACATGTGCACACCCAAGGCTAACATTTCACCTAAGGCTACCATTTCATTAGGTCTGGGGCTGTTGCTACTACTCTTGAACTCAGTATTTTGAAATAATGTGACATGGAACAAGGTTCTCCTCTTGAAGCTTTATGCTTCTGCATTTTTCAAAAGCAAACACAAGATTAATACCTCACAAAGTTCCTTCACACTATTTCTGTACAGCCTGAAAACCTGTTAAGGCCAACAAAACGCACATATAAAGAGACTAGTTTGAAATACTTCTATGATCAGCAGTTTTTAGTGAAACTTGAACTTCAGTCAAGGGGAGATACTAGGAATACTTGGTGACAGCATGGAAAAAAATTATTCGTGCTGCAGCTTCACATTCTATAAAACCAAAACTCAGGTTTCACAGCAACTTGAAGGATCTGAACATATGTTGGACTAGCTGTATGTTAACTACTCTATATCAAGTAATTTTAAATAATTCTTACCCTTTCTAACATCCCAACAATGTACTTAGTATCAGAAAATGGTCCTATTTCTTCATGACATCTTCCATAAACAATGGCCAATGCTTGCAGACATAAGCACTTCATATTCACTTTTGGGGTAAGCAAGAAGCGATGGTAGAGTTCATTGAAGAATTCATATCTAAGAAAGAGATGAGATTTTAGTGAAGAGAACAGAGACCCTGGGAATGAGATAGGATTTTAATAAGGTCTCACGATTTTTTGATTGCTCCACTCTCTTCAGTTTCATCTTCTTCCAGTAGCAATCTTAGATAATAATCCCCTATTTTTATTTCTTCAGAAAGGCACTCATATTTTACCTGCAACACAGAACAAGTTACTTAGCAGTAAATATTGTTTCTCCTTCATTAAGTTTTTGCTTGCATAACAACACTGTACTTGGTTGCATCCATAAACTCAGCAAGGTTAGCAACCCCTCCTACAAGTCTGAGAAATATTGAAATCAGAAAATTTGCTGTTAAAGAAACACACATCTATAAAATATATGCCATAAGCTACTGTTGCTCCCCAGAACAAATGAAGTTTCTCATCTTACTGAAATCCCAGCTTCCAGCCTTTAAGTAACTTGTTTCTAATATCAGCTGGTTTTATTAACTAAACTTGGATAATATGATGCATTCAGTGACTCAAGCTTTAATAAGTAGTTATTCCGTTGCAAAGTATTTCACTCAATGTTACTACAAGTATGAAACACAAGCATGACTTAATTACTAGTTATACTTGCTATTATGCTGGGTAATAAAAGCCTAGAGGCATCAGTATACACACCAAGAAGCTGAAGTGAAATTGCACAGTGAGAGCCATCATTAACTTCAGAGCAACTACATTAAATTTAACCATATACCTCAATTCTCAGTGGTTTTAAGCATTTGGCAAGCACCTCATTTAGAGGTACCTCTAAGATATCACAAAAGCTGCTCTCCACAGTGGTTTTTCTTATCTGTAGTTTGCAGACCACTGTCACGAGACCACATAAAGTTACCTCCAGATTTGATCACAGCACATGATACAAAGACATCCCACTAACCAGTACACTTCCAGAGCAATCTCAAGCCACCATCCCCCTGCCAAAGTGACAGGTTCTACAGCTGACAAAAACCTTTGTCACCACTACACAGTTAGTTCAAATACTTACAGCATAGCCTGATAAAGTATTCATTTAAAATATTTAAAAGCACATCTGAGACAGCAGCTGTTCAAAGACCATGTTACAGAAACCCCCCAAGCCGGTCCCAAAGTATCCTGGGCTGTAACTGCAAGAATGCTAGTGATACATTCCAGTAGCATAAGCCACATAGGAGCGCAAAGTGCAGGTGGGAAGCCTACATTACTAAGTTTCAGATCTGTACTTTCTGCCCCAGTTAGCACTGCTAAAGTACAGAGACAGAGTTGGGATAGCAAACACAGCGACACCCAAAGTCCTGCGCCGTACCCATACCTGAAGGAAATTTTGAAAGCTAAATGCCAGTGGAAAAAATACCAGTCCAAACCCAAACTTAGTTATTCACTGCATCAAGGTGAGAAGTAATCTGCAGCTGTGTGATAGGGGTAAGTTGCATACATAAAATAGATGTCTTGCAATTCCTTCTGATTTGCCAGAGTAGTCAACTGATAATTCCTCAAAAGCAGCAGTTTACTCTTGTTTTGCTAGTAGCACTCTGTTCAAGTTTCGACTAGAAAGCTGTACTGTGACAAGGGTGGCATTGGGAATATCTAATAATATCTTACAGAACTCAAGTGTGGCCTTGCTTTGCTTTAGCATTACATATTAAACTGTGTGGAACCATAACAATACTGGAGATAAAAGCAGAGTACAGAAAGTGTTTATTAGCACATTACTTGAAGGCATCTTCCAAGTTGTTTTGAGAAAGCCAATTAGGACCATACCAATTGCTTTGCAGAAGCCTGGAAGGCTATTTTGACTTTAGGTACTGCTGTTCCTAGAATACGAAAACAGTATCCCCAATCTATCATTTACAGAGCAGCATGGTTTTAGCCACATAACCTTCTTGTGGTTTGGCAACCCGGTATTTAACAACCTTAGAATCACTGAGAAGGATGCAAATAAAGACAAGGAACTTCCTATCAGAACGAAGAGACTTGTGAAACTACGCAAAAGAAGTCAGTCACACTCAGGAACAAGTATGAACTGTCTTGACAACAACATAACACCAACTCTTCTCTTTTCCTCTTAATGCAAGAATACATCAAGGGTTCTGATCATTGCACCCCTACAGTGTCATTTGCCAGGCTGAAGAGTTTTCAGTTTTGCAAAGCGACACTGGACAACAGTACCCACTCACAGCCTCACGCCTTAGCAGTTTATTCCATAACCACAAAAGAATTTTAGCTTGCAGTCAGGGATTGCCAGCACAAGATTCACTCATGTAGTCAAAGACAGAAAAGTGACATTTTAAGTAGACATATTTTACATATGCAGTTTCTCCTACAGTGGGTCATTTACCTCAAACTCCTGATGGTTCCATGAGATAACATTAGCACTACCAAGCTCTCTGTCAATATTAAATGCTCTCATCTCAGACTCGAGAGTATCTCTCAGTTCTTCCCGTGTTTTGAAGTTCCAAATCAAGTTGGATCTAGCATGATCCTGAAGAAATCTAAGAAAGAAGTTACATAGTTTAAACCCCTCAAAAAGATTACCTGAAAGGCAGACAAGACTCAGCTGGCAAGCTAGAGAAGATTAGCATTACTGGGCCTTAATTAGAAGGCGCTGAGTAGCCATCTCTAGTTTGCCACAGTTATTATGGTTGTTCACTTGTACAGTGTTTTCATAGTCATGGAGGACAGCCTAGACTAAAGCATGCCTGTTGTGATCCCTTTTGGCTCAATTTCTTATCAGCATACAGTTTATGGCCAGGAGACATTCAAGCTATTCATCGTATCTGCCAGGAAGGGCTACAAGCGCACAATAACCTAGGGCAGCAGACATGCACTTGATATGTGCATGTTTTAAACAAAAAAAGTAGTTCATGCAGGAAAATAGAAGTTGATGTCTCAGGTGTCACAAGACAGTCAGTGGACATTCTTCAGTGGCAGTTACAAAACAGCCTTTGGATCCAGAGACTGGCTGAGAACAGTACTTTAATACTCAAAGTTTAGGAGCATGCGAATCTTCCTTTCGTGTGACACTTGTGCAGAACGGCCTGTATTTGACCTTCAGAAACACTAAGCACCAAATCAAACAGGTAAGCTTACGGAATTTCCCCAAGCTTGCTTTCGTAGGGTTTGTTGAATAGTCAAGCTTTATTAGTCCATTTAACTTAACACCCCTAGCCAAAGTAAAGTGATAATATCTTTTTTTCAGATGGAGGCCCCTCCCTTGTAAACTTTGACAGTTTTAAGAACTCACAGGGAAGCAAGCTGCATTTAGGATCTGTGGCACTATTTGAAACCCAGCATCCATGTGTTTTCTCTTCATCTGCCTTAAATTCATTTTTATTCCACTTCAAGTTAAAACATCTTGAGTAGCTTACATGTTGATGCACCACCACACTACAATGATTTTCAGTGCTACTTTGCTTAGCCTTCAAAATTGTGCAGATCTGCACCTGTGGTTTGTTATTCACTCTTCTTTTTGATTCAAGGGAAAAAAAGATGTAGTTTGCTAACATTTGAGAATCTTTCCAAGTCCCCCCCTTTCTTAAACACCAGCTAAATCCTTAAGTATACCTCAGGATTTCATTTTTCACAAATTCCTGTTACAAAGCACTTGCACTGTTTCAAGGTAGACAGAAGTTGGAATCAAGACAGAGCAACTGAGAAGATATTGAAAATATCCAGGTAACAACTTGTATCTGAGACCACCATATTAAACTTAGTATTTTACCTGTAATAGAAGAGATCCCAGTTTGCTTCTATTTTTATTCTTTGGCGTCGTTTCCTTAATATCACTGGCTTTTGAATAATGTTCTGCAAAAGAGCCAAATTTAAGAAGTCAGTGGAAACAGATACTCCTCCTTTTCCCCTTTTAAAATAAAAAGCCGTGTTTTTTTTAACTCTTTCAAAAGCCACACTAAGTTAAGCCTCATTAATAGGGTCTCCTTTTCTAAGTAGTAGCAGCAACAGACTTTCACAAGCGTTATTTACACAAAGTTAAATCATGCTAGAGAAACTTTCAGCTGTTGAACAAGTCATTCATTTAGAAGCACATTATCCCTGAGAAAAGCTTAGTTCCCATCACCATAAAGCATTCATCAGCTCCAAAGCTGATCTAGGGGAAAACCCACAACAAGAATGCTTTGCTCTTGAAAGGAAATAACTAGAGCAAGCCACAAAAGTGAGTCACAAACCTGACTTGACCACTGAAAGGTTCCCTAGTTCGATCAAGCATGACATCGTTATACTCTACATGAGGTACCACATGCAAGCAGAATTCTGAGCAACACAATCCACGCAAGTGGCAGAGATATACAGACTCACCATATTGTTTCTGTCCTGATTGTGATGGAAAGTTGGAAGAAAAAGAAAAGGTACATTTAACAAGCCACAGCCACTGAAGTAATTCAAAGTGGTAATACCAAACTTGCAAATACCTTTTCCAAGCTACATTTCAATACATTTACTGTGAAATTAAACAGCTCGGAAATCCAGATGGAAAAATGATTGTTTAAACTCAGTATCTAGACAAGGTGTTTAAAGTGCAATTTGCCCTTCCACTACCATTTTCCACATTTCTCCATTAAAGCTTTGTTTTGAACCTAGTTCACCATTATTCCAGAAATATAACCTGTCAAAATTCTGCACCACAGTCTACATCAAACTTGAGCTCATTTTTACCATGTTAAGGTTTTCCTAAATTAAAGCCTATTGTAACATCAGGTCAAGTACAAAGACAGGCATTTTCAATACTCTGTATTGCATTGCTCTTTTCATCCTTCCGTGCATATATACTAGTTTGTTTCATTTCCAGAATGCATAAAGACAAGCTTAGTCAGGAGACTGAAGAAAGTTAAGGGAAATGCCTCAGAATTCAAAGAGTTTGTCATACAGAACATGACAATAAAATTAAAATAAAAAGGAGACCAACAGTAAGAACTCCAGCAGTGCTTGAGCTATCCTCATTACAATATCAGATCAAAACAGTCATTTATCACTTCAATCTTAACCGTGGTTTTACATATAATCTTATGTTGCAATTTAAGCACCGAGATACCTACATTCAAGATAACTCTAAGATTCTTCAGGCAAGTTCCATAACTAAGATACTATGCACATCCTTTTGGACACAAAGAATATTCATAGTTTCTTCCAAATGTATTTCAAAAACTGGTTTTGCCATATTTCAAGGAATTTCCCATTCTCCTCTAGAGTTATCTTGGAAGAAATGCACATAAACTGCAGTCCAGTTTGATAAGGTTGGCTAAAGCTTAAAACATATGCTGAAGGAATCCAATTGCCTGCTTTACATTCTCCCTGTGATCTACTTCTAACCGAAGAAGAGTAGTAGTAGTAAGAGGCAGAGAGTTTGCTAAAAGGAAGCAGATCTATGAAGTTTCTCACATTCCTGCACTTTATTACTGACAAAACTTCGCTCAAATTTCATGGAGCTATAGATGTTCCTCTCTGTACTTGTCAAGTTGCTGTAACAGAGTTTCAAATGCTTTTACCTCTTTTTGAGCTATGCCCATTCTGTCCCTCCAATGCATCAAGACCAGATCCACCTTCTCTTTGGCAAATTTTTCAACTTCCTTCGCAGCTTTTCCAGCCAGTCTCTGCCACTCCGGTACTTTATTAAACTTGCCATATTGATCCTGCAGAATAAATCCTATTAGTTATTTGCAGTTGCTGGTCTATCAACATGTTTGATGCAGGTCAATGCAATAGTCAAATGTCTGTATTAGAAAATTCACTAAGACTGTACATCTATATAACAGAAGAGGTAAGACCACTATATTTACTTACAGTTGCAATTTTTAAGTTATCTCTAACATGCATCCTATCAGCATCTTTTTCAGGAACAGGATCAGCACTGTCAAGGTACGCCAGCAAACCTGGTGGCTAAAAACATTTAAAAACAGTGTGAACACATGTGCCTAACGGAACTGAAACCACCACAGTAAGTAACAAGATAATTTCTTTAAATTAGATATTTCAAAACAGAATTTATAATCTACTCTAAAACAAGTATGTAAAGCTACAGCAGCTTTTTGCTTTTATTAGTGAAATGCCACGATCCTCAACAGAGGCACATAATTAGCTTCAGTACAGCTCTTGCCTATATCACATTTCTTAAAGGAGCACTTAATGAAGCTAAGGACTGCAGGAAGAGAGTTGATCCCGCTGCAATATTGAGGGGGATGAATACTGTAACACTAGAATCCACTCATATCCTCCAATATTGCTTGAACATTGCATGTGACATTAGAGATAAGAATCTGATTTGACTAAACCTTCTAGAAGGCAGCGACCAAGATGAAGACAGTTTGCTCTGCCAGAAATGAAGGAACTGCTATTTTGAATTTAAAAGTTGGTATTTTTTTCAGAATTAGTAATTCCTTAGAACACTATTCTTTGAATTAGTTTCACTGAAGTAACTTAAGCAAGAACCTTTCAGGAGGCTGTAAGGGTGAAATAAATATATGTATTAGCTGATACTTCCTATGTTATCTATGTTATAAGCAAACAATGTTGGACAGGCATGAAAGCACAGACAGAACTGTTGCCTTAATTTCTTACTGGCACTAAGCATTAGGAACTATGTTTACTATGTCTCCTACATTTTCGTCCTTTTAATAGAGAAAAAAAAGTCAGACGCCTTATTTTTAAGTTGTGTGTCATACACCATTTTTAAAAGTAGCAGGAAAGTCACAGAATACTTTAAGAATCAGAGATGTTTTGTACTAGCCATCGATGTCCTTCAAACAGCAGATGCCAGACTAGACTTCCTACTTGAAAGGGAAAGGGAATGTGTTTAACATATAGACTATCCCAAGTCTTCTAATACTACAGACTTTCAGATTTCATTTTTTCCGTACTCCATATCCCATTTTTACTCACCAAAATACGTTTCAACAAATTCATAGCAGTTTTGTTCTCAGCTGTCCAGAGGCCAACCAAATGTCTACTTAACTGCCTGAAAAAGCCATTGAAATTAACAAATCACAGGTTAGAATTTTAAACATATTTTAAACCACTAAACTGACACCCTTACCATGCTGGTGAAATGAAGATGAGCAAGAGCTTTGTGCTCTTGAGCAAGTAAGAGCACAAAGCATTATATTGTTCCAGTTCAAGTATATGCTTAGCATGCTTTAAAGTGTTGCCTTTAAGAAGTTCCAGTGAAGTTAGTGGGACAGTAGCAGCACATGCTTTTTGATCTAGACCTCAAAAGAACACTTGAGCAATAGAGCAGAAACTAAACATCTAATGACCAAGTGTACGATTTACTTGATCAACTTAAGTTACAGTTAAAGTTAAGAGTCCAGAAGCCATCAAGAACTGTTAAATGCTCTACTTGAAGCTCTTAATACCAGTTATTGGCTAGGAAAGCCTTTTTGGGAGCCTGCCTTATATGCCAACTGTTGGCAGAAAGCATCATTTCTCACCAGGGTTCTACTGTATTGAACCAAAGCATTGCTTACAAGCAAGTCATAAGTAGTAGCTCCAAACAGAATAGTATGACAGAAGGTTTCATACTAGCTCTCCCCTGAATGACATACAGTGGCAACAAGATTCACTTGTCACTACATTACTTAGCAACTCTAAGGGCTTCAGGAACAAATGCATTTAAGACTTCTATAATCTTGTATTTGGGTGGAAATAGTTGAATTATCACTCATCCTCCTCAGCATGCCCTCAAGGCCCAGTCTCAGAGCTCAGAAGTTGTACTAATTGCTGAATTCATGGAATGATTCCTGTATGAGGTGACTTCTCTCTAAGATGGGATGGGTGACCCTAACTGCATGCAAGATGCCTGAAGTGTGCACGCCAGAATTTATACAGTTGTATAAAGTTGAACCTCCTTACGTGTTCCAGACATTCTACTTGCCTTTTCTTTTCCTGAATGTTTTCAGAAAAAGCTAAAAATCAAAACCTGAGCCTTTAGTGAATAACCAACCCAAGTCCCATTTTGGAAAAAAATAATTAAAGGTCTATTAAGTGGCTGCAGTCTCAGCTGAAGCTTGCTCTACTTAACACACCAGCTGCTGGAGAAAATATTCTCCTAAAGAACTGCAAGTTTTCTTCCTTGACCTCCCAATGTTCCTAATGTTAGTGAGGCCATTACTTAAGACTTTTTAAAGATAAGATATCAAGTGAGACTGACATACCTATTTGTAAGCATCCTCTGATCTGTGCTTATTGTAAACATAGCAGTGTGCAAGTGACGAGGTAAGGCACCTTCACTGAGGGCAAGATCTTGCATTTTGGTAGCAATCTCTTTGTCTCCTTCCTTTGGAAACAGGGCAAGATGATTACTAAAGAAAGAATCTTAGTTAAGCTGCTTTTATCTTAGTCTACAGTTCCAAGGCCTTTTTCACCATCAATTTTGTCAACTAATATCCAACACCCAGAAGTTATAGTATGACAGGCTTTAAGTGCAAGTTCTCAACAGCAACTGATCAAAGTCATAGTAAAGCCATGGATGAGCTAATTGGTGGTTATATCTACAAGGACAGTAACTGTATTAATAGGGCAAGGTGCCTGTCTCCTGTCATAGATCAGGAGGCTGGCAGTACATTTACAAGCACCACTTCCACATCACAACTGTAAATTAGGGTTAAACAAGTGACAGCCACAAGTATTCACTTGTTGCTTGACTTTGGTCAACAGTAGTCATTTAAGAATAACCAGTGCTGTTTGGTTTAGCCACACAGGTAAGACGGTCACTCAGTCAAGATACATTGGTTGCAATGAGTAACTAAGAAAAAGCTTTCACTGCATTTTTACTTGCCCATGTCCCACTGTAGTTCAAATGACAGAAGTTGCAATAAACAGCATAGCAATTTCTAGCTAATGTTATCAGGTATATCAATGGAAACTTGTGGATTTATAATACCTCTATTTCAAGTGTTCATTCACTTCCATTCCAAGAAAGTACTAGATGCAATTCAGATGCATAAGCCATTGTGATACAATGAGGCAGTAACTTTAGCCCTGAATTTCAACACAGGAAGTGTCGAGAGTCAGCTAGCAAGGTCACCCTGCAACAATCATGAGCAGCTCTTGAGAAGTATGGACTTGGCCCATACATCATGTGGTATGGAAACTAACAAAGCCAAATCATCCTTTGTTGAAGCAGAAAGAGGAAGAACAGAGGCTGACATCACTAGTCTGCTCTGGGACAATACTGCCTGCTAATCTCAGTTCCATTCCATCTGGCAATGCATTCCAGGAAATATGGCCTCTCCTCCTCGAGAGGCCCTCTGTAACATGCAGAAGCCTGGTGGCTCTGAGATGCGTGACTGAGCTACAAACAACATTAACAGCCAAACCTTGACTGCAGTATGAAAACATGCAAGGCACTACCTAACGTCCCAACTCACATGCCTTCCAACCCCCCAAGTGCAAGATAAAGCAAGTTGCTATATTAAACCACTTGCAATTAAGGGGTGTTCTGTTCCTCACCTTCCCCCCGCCCCCAAGAAAAGCTAATATAACAAACTTCTATCGGTAAGCAACTGCATTTTCAAAATAGACAATACATATTCAGTATGCTATCCCAGGTAACACTGATAAAAGTCTCACCTCTATTATTGCCTTCATTACCAAACCTGCTCCTTTCACAATTGCCATGGAAGGGTGCTAAAATAGAATGTTGACAAAATAATTACTCAAGTGCAAAATTCAAAGATTAGATCATCTATGATTCAGTTTCCTTAACTCATCTACATGGCTGTTCTACCTCCAGTTCTGGGCAAAAGTTAATCTTTCAGTTTTGTGAAAGTTATCCCTAGGAAGAGTTCCTATCCTCTCATGCAACTATCAGATGCCTCCTTGGCACTGAACAGCAGCATATACCAGAGAAGCTGGAATAATGCTGGGGAAACTGACAAAAGCTGACATTAACCAAGAAGCAGAAGGGCATACTGTTTTTACAGAAAGCAAGCACTGACATTTTAGCTAAATATCTTTGAATTCTTATAGGTTTACTACTGAAGATGATGTTACTCTTGTTTTTTAACTCAATTCTCATTTATTGAGAGAGAAACAAAGGGTGGCAAATTCTCCAAAGAAAGGAAGATCTGTGCATCTGCTGATCTAGATTTAACTGGTATTTTAAACCATTTCTAGAAACAAGGCTTAGGCAGTCTATTGTACAACGATTTGGTGTATCATTCACTATAGAATAACCACCTTAACCTAGTATCTGAAGGTAAAGCAATTAGGTTACTAAAAATCTCACCAAGATAGACAAGGTTTAGGCACATTAACTGCTGAACAGTAGACAAATTTGTCTTTCAGGAGAACAAGGAAGTTCATGTTCAGTGACTACCTAAGGCCTCTGATTAAAAAAAACACTTACCTGAAAGAGCTTAAATAGTGTTCTTCCATTAGATGCCACCATTTCCAACAACATGTCAAACTGCTGCCCCTCAGTAGTCTCACTATATGGAGCACATAGGGCAAATGTCAGGAAGTCCAGAAGCGAACTAATTACTAGGGCACCTGTCCCATGATCCTGAAATTAGGAAGACAGGTATGTAATACAGATACAGTGCTTCTCCCCTGCCTGAGAGTTTGCATGCAAGTTTTATTCAGTACTCATGATACTGAAGGTGCTCTTCCCTGTCATACCATGAAACAGTCTGCAAAAAATTACAAGTTTAAAACATGCCATTACTCTGAGTATGGCACTTCTCTGGTAAAGTATTGGCTCCTAGAGCAGATTACCTCATATACTGATGTGCTGCAAATTACTTGTTCTAGCTTTAATCCCGTAAGTACCAGTTTACACTATCCTTTTAGTTAAAAGGAACACGCAGTTTCCATATTAAAGATGCAAACATTTGTTGCATGACACAAGTTCTGCAGCATAGACAACTACATTCTATCCTGTCAAGATCCAAACCTATTTAGAAGAAACTTCAGTGCCAGACATAACTGTATTTTCTGTACTTCAGTTGCAGGTACAAATACATTCAAAGATATATCCAGGTATGACAGAAGTGTCTTCATAGCAATTAGGAAAGGCACTTAGAGCAGCTATCTGTTTTCAAAATTTGACTTACCACATGGGAATTGAATTTCTCTAGTAGATTTTCTAGAAACTTTTTTGAGGAAAGAAGGGAAGCTTTGTTTAACTGCTCCTGCCTCAAGTCGTAGTCATCATGCATGGGCTATTAAAAAAAAAAAAAGTATTCACTATACAGTTGCATTTCAACCCTCAGTTCTTAACAGTTGTAGTCCAAAAGCCTACAACAAATTTCATGTTTGAGCACACTACAAGTTGAAGGGCAGTTCCTATTTCTATATCTTTCAGTAGATTGAAGTTTACACATTCCAAAGTGAAAGAATCTGCAATTTCATACTTACACACATAAGAGCACAAAGCATGTCAATAGAGGCATGGGTGACTCCGTCATTGTTCCTTTTGAGGGCTTTCACAACCTTCACTCCTAATCGTTCTCGAAATCTTTTGAAAGGAAAGCAAAACCACAAAGATTAGAAAGGAAACAGAAATCTTAGTTTTAAGATAAAAGTCCAATCAGGGACCAGAAGTGGCATGCTTCCATTGCATTTGGCAAGCCAGTACCTTCACATTTACATAAGTTTTGAGATTCCTTGGTAGGAAAACATTAATAGACTTAACTGTTTACAACACGCTGAGAGCACATTCACCAAAACAAGGACATATTTCCCTACTTACAGGGTAGTGACAGTACAGGACACTATTCAGAGAGAAATAGAACTAAGGAGGTATGTTACTCTTCACATCAATACAGTTGCTCCATAGTCCACTGTCAGAAATATTCCAAAGAATTTTTCATTTTCAGAAGGAAGCAGAAAATCTTTCTGGTGTTCTTATGTTACCCAATTAAGACACAAACTCCAAGCAGCCTGTACTTACTGTAGGAGTACAACTCAGCTTCCTAACATCAAGTTCCATCTTGTGTTGAAATGATGATAGCAATGGCAACAACATACTTTAAGAATGAAGAACTGCCTACTTCAAGGACAGATGAAGGTGCATTTTAGAAGTTTTTCCACTAGGAAAAACATTAAATCATATTTGACTCAAGGCAGAGAGTATTTAGCAAAGGAAGAATCAGCTTTACATACTAATGATCATTTGGGATCCTCAGTTTACATTAAAGTCTGATGATGGCCTCATACTACTGGAAGCAATCATGTACAGATTCTTCCAGCCTTTTTCAGAATTGAGGCTTAACTCCAATTCTCAGTTTTAAAGATAAGACATCATCAAAATCTCAAGAACTGTTTTCACCTACTACTTCCAAGCTTGAAGAGACTTCTCACTTACTTTGGAAGCTGAGTAAAGGCAAGGAAGCCCGCTTTTGAAGCCACTAGTCGTCTTACTGCTTGGAATTGGCTTTCAAGCTCTGCATTAGATGCTGCAATATCTCCCTCTTGCGAGAGCAATGCTGTTATGGCATTATTAATGAGTTTCTCCTTGTTTTCTGAGAACAGACCCTGGTTAAAAAATAACAATTATGAATATCTTTATGCATTAACAACATCTTACGAGGATGGGCAGAGGATTTATTCTTACGTCTTGTGTAACTGCATGTAGTACCCCACTGTAGGAAATGTTAGCATTGAATCTGAACACAGCATCTGCAAAGTTACCATCTAGAAGAAGACATAACAGAAGTTAAGTGCACAGTACCTGACCAAATATCTGGATGCTTTAAAGAGCACTATAAAACCATTATTAGCTTACTTGGAGGAGCAGCCAAAAATCTCAGATGAAGGCTCTCTACTTCTTCATCTACAGGCATACTGAGTAATCCCCAACGCTGGCCTTTGTGCGTGGAAGTCATTTTCACACAGACATCTCTATTACCAGAAGCTCTCACTCCATCCAATAAGCTAGCCAGGAGAGAATCTCTGGTTGGGAGAAAGACATATGAATACAACTTAGATCAGAAAAGGGATGCCAGAGAACCAAGCTATATAGAAAAGTAGAGAAAAAAAGGTCAAACAGAATGAAGGGCAGCAATACTTGGAATCTCTTACTAAAACTGGTGCTAACAGCTCTACACCTCTGGAAGAAGTCACTGACTTTCAAGTGTTCCTTTATTCACTGTAAGAATTATTATTATTATTCACTGTCTCACACCCAGTATAGCCAGCTGCAGCCTTTCACTAAAAGGATTAACTCTGGATTATCTGTTAACGAGTTACACATGTTGTGAGCCAATTCATCCCTGTGCTTTCTGCAAACCTAACTTAGCAGGATTAGACTGCATTACAACTGCAAGTGCACTCAGGGACTACTCTGTTGGTTGTTTTAAATAGAATCAACTAAGACCACTTCAAGCAGATAGCTCAAAGGGTTTACAGCCTTCACATTTCCATATCACTTAAATTGTGCTTTCTTTCCTTCTCTGAGATATACTGCTTAACCAAGCACAACATACACAGAACAACACTCCTTATGAGAAACAGACTGTATCTAACTGTCCAACACTTTTACATGTTCATCAGAAAACTTCTGGACAGATTTGCTTAAAGTTGGGACGAAGGCAAAGCATAGAGATTTAGATCCTGTAACAAATCTTGATTTGTAAGTGGCAGACCACTAGAACCGCAAAGCTTCAAGTTAACGCTTCCGAGGGTCAGAGTTTATGGAAGCTGAGAAACTAGAAGCACTACAATCCATTCGAATTTATAACCCAGAGGAGCTCCAATTACCTTTCTGTTGAAGAGTATTTCCGAATTTGTCCTTTGATGAATTCAATGGTAAAAAGCTGGGGGTTTTCACAGTCACATACTATTGCAAATACCTAAAAATAAGAGACAAGTATCACATTCATGAAGCAGTGTTGTTGATCTACTCTACAAATTGAGGCCATCTTTTGTATACTATGGAATTCCTACTATTATCATATTTTAGAGTTTCTCTTTGAAGAAGTGGTACTGAGAAAGGTAGTGTCTTACCTCGCCTAAAGGTTTCAAAGTTGCAATGTTATAGGTAGCTGGATCTCGCTCAACTAAGCAAGCTTCTGTAAGAGCTAGTACCCTTTTCACAGGTTCCTTAAGGGGAAAAAAAAAATGTTAAGAAAGAGAATTCTTAGCACCAAAGAAGAACCAAGTAAATTCATGATACCCTTACCAAGTGTCTAGGCGTTATTTTTTGAACAACAAACTCTGCTAAAGATGTTACAGATTCATCGTTGCTGTATTTTCCAAAGCGAAGATTCAAGTATTGCTCAAATTCTAGGGATTCTTTCCTTATCCGCAGAGAAATACCTATGAAGTTACCAGCATGCTCTATTGCACTTTTGATAATTTCCTCCCTCTGCTCAGACGCAAACAGGTGCTGCAAGTTTTGACACAAGGAAAAAAAAAAAAACCCAGGTGAAAAATATTGCATAGCTCAAGAAATCACAGTTCCATAAATAATCCTCCACTATATATCTAACAGCAGAGAATCTTCCCAGCAGTTAGGCTTGCCTTTACTAAGTGCAGAGTATAAAGGGAAGAGGCATTTATTACACAAGAGATCCAATATGAGGTTTACATTTCCATTACAAACAACAACATCTATAGCAGCTATTCCTAAAGGATACTCTGCTACACATTAGTGTGACATTAAAGGAAAGGTCTGCATGACCTGCCTGCCCACCCTTGGCAACAAATCCTGACAGCCTGGCAGGAGTGAGGAGCCAGAGAACCACAGTGATAGTCTCAGCTGCTATCTGTAAGGGCGGCTATCCAGCCTTGCTAGGCAAAGTTAGGGCAGCTCTAGAGAATCAATTATATATTGCTAGTTTTATGCCAGCGAAAAGCATGCTGCAGTACAAAAGACGTGGAAACCCTGATCTAGAGAGCAGAGTCCTATTTTGTTAGTAGTGACTGAGGTAGCTATATTTACATTAGAAACCATGAATTAATTCCTAAAGATCCATTTCAGCTGCTTGCAGTACAGGCTGCTTGCAGTACAGTACACAAACCTTTTTAAGATTTTGAAACCAACATTACACTGCAGTATTTCCCAAGCAAAGCTGCTGAATATCAGATCACAGGCCTGAAAAGGAAGCATCACCACTGATCGATCTATTTCTGAATAGAATCCCTCCATCAGTTAGGTAGATTAGTTATACTGCCTGTCACTTCTGTAATTTTGAGAAACACCAGGGAACTCCACATCCACATTGCGTTTGTATTGACTATCCAAATATAAACACCTGGGTATTTTATGCTCTGTAGTTTTTAAACATGCAATAAGGAAAAAAACACCACACATTGCTCTCAAATGTTTTATCTAGTTTTCTGTGGAAAAGAGGTTTTAAAACCTGTCCACAAGACTTCAGTCTCCACAGTTGGGTGCCAAAGACGCACATACTTGTCTGCTCAAATTATGTTGAAGCTTCATTATTAAATATGCAGCTATAAACATCCTAAGCACCATACCAAGATGTTTTGTTTCAGTACTCACCAATCTACTGAATCCTCCATAGAGGATACAGAAGCCTCCCTGATAGCCAGCAATATCAACAAAGCCTTCAATGTTTCTGTAGTCATAGGAGCATAGGACTTTATTTGTTGCAGGATCAATTTGGTCAATACCTCCAGGAGTCACCTCCAGAATCACAGGTTTCCTCGTATCACTCCAGTGATGTTTATAGCAGTTATACCTCTGCAGAGAGAGCTACTTTTAGACATCTACACACACTCCTTTACTACACACCAATAGATCTTTTCCAGTCTAGTAAGCAGTGTGGGTGTAAAGTTCAAAAAAATGATATAATTTCCCTTAATGTTCTTAACTATAAGAACACTATGAATCAAATGAAAATAGCTGTCTACTAACAAGAAAGTCACAACATAAACAATGCATTTTGAAGAGAGAACAGCAAACTCAAAACAGCCCAAAATGGAGTAAATTTCTCTTGCTGCAGAAGGTGGCCTACTCACAGACTGCGTGCACTGTGGTTAGGCAAGGAAATAGCTATTGCACCAGATCCTGTTATTCAGCTAATCAAGACTAAATTAAGGTAAACTTATTACCATAGTGCAAGTTTTTCATCTCCTGCAGTTGTATTCCATACAAATACAGACTTACTGAAATCAGCAAAATTTAGAGGTCTGTTGTAAACCACAGGAAGGCAAAGGGGACCCCCATATTCCAGCAGTGTTAGCATGCTCACCACTGAAGATTTATTGTAGTCAATGCTTTAAGTTACTTTAAGTGCTACCTTCTGTGACCAGAAAACATAAAACCAAATACAGAGTCCAGCTCTGTATATTGCCTTGCTTATTACTATATTACCAAGATTCATTAAACAGCAATCTGGTCTTTAATCTGACCTACAGAAACAATATTCCCACATCAAGCGTTGAGGATGTTTTGCAGAAAACTATTCAGAATTAGAAAGTAAAATGCTGGAAGTGGTAAACATTGAATAATAAATCAAAGCTTATGTTTTTCTTCTTCCTTCTCTCCAGATAATAACTCCATGTGGCAAAGCCCTTTATTTCAGCAGTAACATTCAGAGTCTTTAAATATACCACTGTAAGGCTCAAGCCAAGTACACTCAAATATTCTACTGTTGAAAAGGTTCCCATTGCTTTTGAACAAACTTAATTTTCTCTTCTCAAAGCAAGACTTCAGATCCAAATTCACAAAAGCTATTTTAGGTAGTGCATATAGTACAAGCATAACATACACAAACATAGTAGAAGTTTAAGTCTTTAGATCATTTCATTAAACTGCACATGATCCAGACAAGCCAGATACTTACCCGTCCTGTGATTTTTCCTTCTGAGAAGTCTGTCCTGAATCTCTGTTTTAAAAAAAGTTAACAATGAATGAATGCAAATATGATAGCAAATCCACCCAGAAAGTCTACGTTTAAGCTGACCCTGTTTTATGGGACTTAACAGAATGGCAGGGGTTAGAAGGGACCTCTGGAGATAATCTAGTCCAACCCCCCTGCTAAAGCAGGTTCACCCAGAGCAGGTTGCACAGGTCATCATCCAGTTGGGTTCTGAGTATCTTCAAAGAAGGAGACTCCACAACCCCCCTGGGCAGCCTGTGCCAGTGCTCTGTCACCCTCAAAGTAAAGAAGTTTTTCTGCATATTCAACTTTAACTAAGCCTCCTTGAATACTCACTGCAGTTTAATATACTCAGTATTTGTAGCTTTATTTACTATTTAAGAAACATGCACTACGTGCTGCAACTCACACTGCATCAAGTACATTAATAGAACAGCTCCAAAGACAACTTGCTTTCCTACTTTTTATGTAAGGAAAGAAAGCAGAGTAAGCTACCACAAATGGTATTGCTAACCAAGTACTTATTGCTTGTTTGAAGGGAAAAAAAAAAAAAAAATCTTACCAGTGCCTCTGTAAGGAGTTCTGTTCTGTGCTCTGTGGAAAACTTAAGAGTTTCAGACTTTTTCCCACTCCCTTTGCGAAAAGTGAGACTAAATTCTGTTCCTTGTCCTTTTCCAACAGGAGAAATACTACAGATATCTCCATAAGGCCACTAGACAATTGAAAGCAATTAGGTTATACTGTTAGTAATTTTAAAGTTACATCTCCTCCACTCAAAACCCCTTAGTACCTATAACAACTAAGCCAGCTGCTGTAATAAGACAATAGCTAGCATGCTACATGACAGCTTTTGCTTGAGCTTCCTATTTGATACTCTGTAAAGTAAGCAAGTGCCCTTCAGGGACATAGCCTTACAGTGATCAAACTTATCCCAGTTAATTCAGAACAGCACACCCAAAAAGCAAACTGCTACTTATGGGCCAATAATGACAAATTGCCTAGAAGTACAACAACTACTGGGTATTTGTAGAGTTAGTGAAGGCAACACCAATTTTCTGTTATGCATGCTCTTGTAGCAGCTGCCATACCTTCTGGTTTTGCTGCGATCTTGTTAGACTAGACAGTTTCTAAAGACTGAATGCCACTATTAACTCTGGATGGTGAACATAAGTAAAAATCAACTCAAAGTAGCACTGTTCAAAAATGATAGTTACCTGATTTGTAATTTCTAGCGTGTTGGGATTGTATGTGGTGATGGCATGGGTTCCAACTGAAAATACTCTCTTATACCTAGAATATAAAAAAGTTGAATGGCAAAAATTATGTTAAGCAACTATATAAGTCAGTGTTAGGAAATGGATATGGAATTTTCTTTCTTAAGTTGCTAGCTTTCAGTTTACCCTTACAATATGTTAAGCTCCTCTGTGCTATATATATATCTGTAAAAGGGGCATACAAGTTAAATATTACTAAATATATTTATGCATATCTTTTCTTATGTTATTGGCTAAGTCAGGACAAAAGCTCTTGGAACTTGAACTGGAAGGTGCCACCAGACCAGAATAAATTCTAAAAAGACTACACAGATAGGAAGAAAGATATTCCTGCAGTACTCTAAAGCATCTGTCTGCAGCTGTCTCAGACAACAGCTGTAACATGAAATAATCCAATTGACGCACTTGATCACAATACTGTAACAAATGAAAGTGTTACTATGGCCAAGCCTAGTTTTCTTCACCTTGAGAAAAACTAAAGACTACTAAACTCAGAAAGACTCAGATCACTGAAGCTATAGTTCAATATGCAGCTAGTCATTGTACATCAATATCACAGATACATTAATTGCTGTAGTGCTTAAAGAACAGCTGTAGCAAGGTAGGTGCTTGCATTTCAGGCATATCAGAAACAAGAAGCAGTGAGCTGAACCTAAGAAATTTAGATGCATCAAATGCAAAACTGAAACCTTACCATGGTTTCATTTCCTAGACAATCTCTTCAACAGCATACCCTAAACCAACTCTTTATATGGAAACTATTTACATATTTCTGAAGCAGAAAGTTTTGCAATGTAACTAACTAGAGTTTCAAACAGTAGATTATTACTAATACCTTACTACTTGTTCAAACTTCTTGTTCTAGGGTACTTCTATCTGGAAGCAGTCCTGCCCAGGAAGTCAAGCCAAGCCTGAACCAGAGCCAATTCTAGTAACTATTCTCTGGGCAAAGAAACAGGATCTGAACATGGATGCCTTTCTTGAACTTGAACCAAATAAAAACACTTTGGCTAGTTGTCCGTATTAAAACTCATTCGGTGTAACAATTTAAGTGATCAATCAGATAGCTAGCTAATCTGGATCTGTGCCATACTAGACACTGCATCAAAAAAGCAGGTTGCTTCTTCCCTCTTTCTCCACATTATTGTGTTGCAGTCCCTTCTTCTCTCTCACTTGCCATGTCTGCAACACAAGCCATCATTTCTGTATAAGGTCAAACTTTGTGTGGGCTTCAGATACATCCAGAGCTGCTTCCTCATGTTATTTGACATGCCCTCCCTTCTCTCATAATAGCCAAGAATATCTGTCTGACACAATCAATCTCACAAACTGCATTCCCTACCATTTTCCATTATTATTCAAATGAACTGGTACAAGTTCAAGCCATTACTGGCCCAGAGAAGTTTATCTAGGAATTAAAGCAAGTACTTATTTTCTTCAATGCTTAGAAAAAAAATCTGTAATATTGAAGTGACCTGCCACCTTAAAGATGTTTAATCTGTTTGAAAAACCTATTTGTTTTCCCATGTAGTTGAATTTTCCTTATTTAAGATGCAGGTCAAGAGAAGTCGTAGTAATGAAGCAGAACATTTGAAGTTACTCTAGCTGCTAATAATGCCACTATATTCAGTCTGTCAAAGAATGCTCCGCTTCCAAGATCATAAGAAAATCCTTTGAACAAACCAACTGTTCCCTCTCATTGCACAATTTAGGTAGGTGTTCTGTCTTTTATATGATTTACAAATAAGGCTTGTTTATGCTGTTCTAAAGAACTTGAACTTATCACAAGTAATAAAGCACTTTATTACTTGTTTAAGATTCTGTTTACTCACTTAACATACCAAATAGCTTCACAGTGCTTTGTGGCAGAATAAGAATCTGCAATGATCACACATAATTGAAGACACATAATTGAAGACCAGCTTTCAAACACTATAGCCCCTTCCTTTTCTCCCCTCGCACCCAAGCCAACATTTCAAGTTCTAGGAGGCATATTTACAATCCAGCATTCTTATTATGTGATGTGACAAGGAACACAAGACAGAACAGAAGATTTGTCAAGTTACCACTTCCTTTATCTCCTCTCCCTAGGCAAAGCCAGAAGACCCAAGTCTTGTTGCACGAACAGAGGAGACTCAGAAGTCAGTTCACACGCAGCCTAAACATACTCTTGTCCAGAACTTCTCTATGTACAAAGATACTTATACCTCCAGGCCTTGAGGACTTTGCCATTAATTATGCCTCAAACTACTCTGCAGCACAGTCTAATGCCAGGCTCTTTTGAGAGCAAGAGCTTGAAGCAAATGTCCTTTTCACAGTAAAAAGACTATTGCCTATTCACTAGTTTCTTCGAAGCACTGTAGAAGTCAAAAGTTATACTTTTTTAATCAGGATTAAGCTGGTAGACAAATTTTATACTACCACACTCAAGAGAAAGACAGTGTTAGTTTTACTGAACTACAGATTGACACTGGAACATCATCACCGGTACTACTAGAAAATACTTTAACTGCCATGCACACAGGCCACATTCAACAAAGTGACAAGTCATATGAATAGTCAGAGTGATTCAGGCTCATTTAGCACAGACACATTAAGTTACTGGGGTTTTTTTCTGTTATCCATAGATTATATTCAGAATGTTTATAAACCAAGTGGACTTAAATATTCAAATAAAAGCTTACTGAAAGACATATAAGCTTCTGCTGCAACACAACAAGAGGCAACTACTCGCTAAATACTCTTTTTCCCTTCATTATGTGAAAAGTGCCACCGAGGTTTTAAACTAAGCCTCTGTTTTAGACTTTAGACTTAGTTTGAAGTTCTGTAAGACTTCATAGTTTATCAGAACACTACCGTCAAAGTTCAAGATCATACTGCTCTAACTTCAACAGCTTGTATCATGTAGGAACAGGCTCTTTAATGGAAGGCATTGAGCAGGAAAAGCAATATGAGTTACATATATTTAATTTTCACCAAGTGGCTCAAATCATGCACACACTAAATTTGCACATATACCACAGGAACTTCAGAGAAAGAGACCAGATATTTTCTGTTGGGCGACAAAGATTATGAGAGGAAGTGTTCTAACGTTCTATCCCAACATAGTATCTTACTAAAGGAAACAGTTTATTCACCCATGCCCACACAAATCCAAATGCATGGATCTTAACTCAGGTAAGGCTCAATTTACACACCTATTGGATGGACTTACAATGACGTAAAACTAAGTATTAAACTATATTTCAAGAATCTGTCTTGGTAGAGGAAAGATTTTGCCCTCAGACAGCTGCTCGGTCTACTCTGGACTCTGAACTACCCAGGGCTTTAATTTTTGCTGACAAAAAGGCAGGAAGCTCTTTGATTTGACACTGAAGCAATCTCACTGTTCTTCAAAGCACAACTGAGAAAGATCTGTGGCTGCCACTCCTTGCAATCCCATCCTCCTTTGTTTCCCAGCATTCCCAATCTTTGATAGGAAGAATTCATGAAGTATCTAGTCAGCAGACAGCAAGAAAAGCACCAGTTTCAACTTACTGGTCAAAGAGATTCAGACATCACCTCTCAGTATAATCATTAGAATAAAGCAGTACTCATGCTTCTGAGGTGAAGACAATGTACCCTCTTTGTTCTGCTGATGTTTAGGTAGCAAGGGAAAAAAAAAAAAAATCTCAGTTCCACAGCACTACTATGCACGTCAGAAGGAACAACAGGTAAAGATACCAAAGAAAGTCCTATGAAGTTTAAAAAGCATGCATAACAGCTGACTTCAAACACAGTATAACAGATACCAGTTATGATCATTTCATGAATAGCTTTGTTAGAAGTTCCCTAGCTTTTGCAGACAGAAGCATCACTGAAAATTCATTTTTAGATCCAAGACCCCCATTAGGGATGAAGTTTATTTCTAGTAATAGAAGTCTGCAAATAATCTCAGTAGTTTAACAGACAATCTATTACACAACATGTTAAGTATGTGTGTGGACTAGTGACCCTCATCTGTTAAAGTACATAAGACATTACTCTTCCAAGAACCTGTTCTAAGAAGCATTTCCAGGTTAGAATTAGTGCTTCATATAGCAAATTCAAGAGACTCAAAAGCTAAGTCAGGTGGTCCATCTCAGAGCTACACTGAAGTGTGGGAGCACATGCAGAGGAAGGCTAAAACACAATGCTTAAAATCCAAATTGATTCTAGTGAAGATACATTCAGTTCAGAGACTGAGCAGCAGGAGCCTTTAGTTCAATTTTCAACCATCAGTACAGGAACTATGCAGTTAAATCCAATAATGGAGAGAAGAACTGTCACACAAAACATTTTAAAAAAAAAAACCAAAACAAACTTTAAACTACTTACTTTCCCCTCCATGAATGTTTTGTTGTGTAGAAACAAGCAAGATCTCTGTTTTCTCTAATTATATTCATTCTGTGCCAAGACCTGAAAACAAAAGAGACATCCTGTTAGTACTCATGATTTTAATTTAAAACCAAAGTTCACTAATCATCAATATGCTTCTGGACAAAAAGACTTTGTTTTTAAACACTCAACTCACTGCTTTGTCAATTCCACACAAAAAATATTAGGAATACTTATGTTTATCAATCAATGCATAGACTAAGTTGCACATGGAGTTGAACACAAATTAAGTTTCCCCACTGATTTGGTTCCACTACTCTTTAACAGTACCAGGTTACAGTAATTTATGCCCCATTATTTGCTGTATTATTGCTATCACGCTCCTTTTACTGCACCTTTGCACATTCAGATTCAAGTGTACTTTATGTCTTCTCCAGAATGCTTAACTCCTTAAAACCATGTAACATCAAAAACATCCGAGTACTCTGCATCCATCACTCCAGCTAAGCCAGACTCCTATTGTGATTTTTAAATAAACAGCAAGTAGAAATCTGGATAGACAAAACAGCTTATTTTCCAGCCTGAAACAGAATTTGAAGTTGAGAAACTTACTTATTAGCTAAGCACTACGATTAAAGAGCTGACTAAGTACCCTTTCTGTGCTGTAAAAGCTTAAGCAATCCCAGCTCTAACATCCTGACATACTTATTTCACACATGAATACCAACTCCCTAAACATGTGCAGGAATTTAGTGAAACTTGCCCATAGCTGCTTGACTAGATCATTGCTTTAGCAGCTGCTAAGTTCTAAGGAATACTTCTGAACGCTAAGCACTATGTTCCACAATTGAAACAGATGCATACTGACTACTTGGGAAACCAAATTCCCTTTTATTTCACTTTGCTGTTATTATATATACAAGGCACTTAAGTAGAGGTACCCTGATTAAGTTGCAAGAGTGAAGCTGTCACTCTCAGTTTACTGCTACAGCGTTAGTTTTATTTTTGAATGTGTCAAAACAGGCTTCCCTGCTCTTGATTACAGACTGGTACTCTCCCAGGTTCACACCAGTAATGTGATGGCATCCCCAAAACATCACACACTTAAGAAGCTAGTCTGCAAGCCTGAAGCAACACTAAAGTAATCCAATCCCAGTCAGTACCCCACTACAAGTTAAACTACAACCCCAGTTATCTTGTTACATTCAGCTAGCTCCACTTGATTTGGCAAAGGAAGATTTCTCATTTTGAGATGGATGACCTGTAACGTTAGCTCATTGCTAACTTCCACCCTCTACAACTTCAGGCTATCTTCATCCTGAGCAAAGACTGCAACAGTTATGTAGTCATGAACATGAAGAATGGATAGCCTAACTGAAATGAGCTCGAGAATTCCTTCCCTCAGGTAAAGAGCCGACACAACCATCACTACCTACTGAAGAGAACTTGTGGTATCGCCTCTGGAAAAAGACAAAAGCAGTATTTACGTATTTCAATGACTCAATCTTTGAGTCAAGCTTTCAGAGTTAATACTCCACGGTCTTGTGGCAAGTTAAAATTCTCTAAATCCAGTTTTTGGAAGCAGAGTTTCATGAGGGGTAAGATATTCAACAGCATTATTCCTGAAGTTCTCCAACTATGTTGTATTATTACTGCTGTGGATAAGCATCAGAACAGTACACTGTCCAAACTACAGAGATCTTACTGTACAGTAGCATGCTTTAGATCTGATAATTTTGTGGTTTAAATTTATCTTTCAGAATGAAGTGCCAGATACTCACCCTCCATACTGCCCTTTTAAAGCCATTTTCTTGACATTGAGTAATATATTAGTAAAAATAAAATAAAAGGCTTATAGCAAGACTAGCTCCACTAAGTATGGGATTGTAAGATCTATTATATCTGTAATTCCAGCTTCACCAACACCAGACTCCTCTGACCAGCTCTATTAAGTCTCACAGACCTGAATACCACCTGCTCTAGGGTATTTAAAGCAAGATGTTCTCACACTTGCCAACATCTAGTCTTAATAATACAGAATTGAGAAACACTCATTTATGAACTACCAGGGGCTTCCATTTACACCAGCATCTAACTAGATTCAGGATACTGATACATGAAGTACGGTACACACAGTGGAAGTGACAAATTCACTAGGCTGCTTTTTTTGTTTAGATGAAAACTATTAAAATCATTAAGCTTTAATGCTTTACTCACTGTGCTTCCGGACAGTGATTGTAACTCTCTCTCCCACTGAGAGGACCGGTTCAGAGGCAATATATGCCAAAATCTAGTAACAATTCTTGTACACATTTTCCTGCAGTTTAACAGAGAACAAGGCTAACAATAGCCTAGTGTTCTGAGCTGCTACATTGAAGTCCAGCAATCATTTTTCATTTGTCTTTGGTTCCACAGTAAGAGCAAGATGAAGAAATAGTTCATGCCAAAGACATTTTAGAAGAAACGAAAAAATTATCTTCCTTCACTTGCTCTTGCACAACCAGTGTGGCATCACTCTTACTATACTATCTACAACGTGATACATTGTAGTTTTAGTACCTGATATAGTATAACCATTGACTTTGCAGAGCACATCAGGTTTTATTATTAATCAAGTTTAGCCATATTGCCAGCGCAAGCTATAGCGGCCTGCTTAGTCATATCGTATTAATTTCCCAAAATAAGAGAACATTCTTATTACTGTCACCTTTACCTCTTCCTCCTGTATTCAAGATACCTTTAAAAAATTGACTGACTTGACACAAAAATGGACTTAAATCACTATTTCACTCATAAAAGCTCCCAGGACAATAAGGCCCCAATTTTAATGATCATCTTGGTGTCCTGGGGTACCTGATAATAGAAAATCACAACTTCAAAGGTTATTTTGAACATATTGCTGCCCAGCTACTGGACATCCCATACTCACGGCTCTCAAAGGTTTAATACTAGAGAACACCTAGTTCAGTTGTTCTATTTCTACTGCAGAGACAAGTTTTCTGAACATAGCACCTTATAAACATGTTTCATCTGGTTGAGAGTAGGAGCATGCTGAATGCAAAGTAAAGTCAAGTAATCTGAGGTTCCTGCAGGCGAAACATTGTCCATGACTTGCAACTTCTTTTGGGAGCCTAACTAAAGCAACCCCCTGCATTACCTGGATAATTTAATTAGCTTTTTCACATGACAGTAGTTCAGCAATACTTTCCTATTTGGTTCTCGTAGTACTTACTATAAGTAGCAGTGAAACAGCTTTGGGGAGAAGAGTTGAAACCACATTCTTGTGTACTGCATGTACCAGAAATAGCAACCCCTAAAATTAAAGAGTCTGAACTGCTGCCAGGACTCCCCCCCCCACTTCAGAGTTTAAACTACATGAACAGGTATATTACACAAGCTGTGTTCAACTTGCATACACTTCCCACTTTTCCAGGATTCTACATTCTTCAGACAAAATTACCATCTGGGAAAACAATCTATTTCAGGAAACAGAGACAATTCAGTCTCAAACTAACACTTGAAGAGTTAGAAACAAAGCTGTGACCTTGCAGGCATCAAAGCAAGAGGCATAGCCGTAATTACGCCTAAGTACCCCTCAGTTTAAATGAAGTCAGAAGTTTGGACGTGGGTTCAAAGTTTAGTGCAGAATTCAGATTGACTTTTTTCCTGATCATATTGTTCTTCTATCATTACAAAGTTTCCATATTTTTAAGTGAAGGTTCAACCGATGTTAAGGTAGCACTTCAGAGCCCCAGACGGATTATTCTATTCCGCTAGGGAGAGGAGGAAGAGAAACGCTGATGAGAAACTGAGAATTCTTTTTTAAAATTTATACCTTATATTTTAGCCTTGCTGGAAAAGTTCCTGGAAAGTCTATACCACACAGTGCAAAGGATAACCAGAATCTTCCACACTTGTTCTTTTATTTTCCATCTACATTAGCATTCTGCTATATCAATGAACCAATCTGATTCACCAGCTAGACAGGTGAGTATCAGGGTTTACTCACTAATGGGAGGAAGGAAAAAAAAAAAAAAAGTGCTCCTTTCAGTCATTATAGGTTAGCCATCTTGTCGTATTTCTTCAGAATACTGTTCTATTTTAAGCTTTATTTGTGAGATAAGAATTGTTAAGTTTTGGTTTGGCACGAGAATAGTTTTTCTGAAGCAAATTGAGAGGTTAAACAGCTGAAGGTTTCAAGATATGTTTGAATGCCAGCTGAAGAATTATTTTATTAAGTCAGTAAAGCTTCACTTGCTGAGCTTCAAACACAGGTTAAAACAAAAGTCACCTGATCAGTCTGAAACACAGATCTGGCCCTAAAGACCAATCCCCAGCATACTGCTTAAAATCTGGAAATACACAGTGATTCAGTCCCTCAGGACAAATACATGTTTGGAAACTATGAAAAATACCATATGATACCCTGAGAAGCGAGCAATGCGTACAAAATAAATCTTTTTAGAAGTTTATTCCAGCAAGGCTAAAATACAAGGTGAAGTTCCTGGAAAGTCTATACTACACAGGGACAGACACTCAGCTCTGAGCCTACAAATACTTAGAAATTTGTTGCAAGTGGAAAAAACTGTCAGTAATAATGGAAAGGAGTCAGTAATTTTTGATTAACTGTTCTGGCACTTGGCTGCCTATAGCAAGCAGGAATTAGACCAAGATGCCTATCTATAAACTGCAGCAGGCTAGAGCCAAGCATAGTTTTTACATCTAATACCAGTCCTGTTATTTTGAACTAAGCCATGGCAGACCACTTGAACAGCATCTTCCTAACTTAATTCAAAGATGAAGCTTAAGACACTAGCAGTCCTTTCGACAGCCTTCCTCCTTTTCTGCATATCTCACTACCTGCAAGTAGCCTATGTAGGCAATCTTCTAATTATCAAGAAGAAAAAGCTTTGAGTTCAGAGAACTTAAGTTCTAAAACCAGGAAGGTTTTCTTAAATACACTATTATTTCATCAGTGCTAAGTAATAGGAAACAAAGCAGCTCTCTACTTAACTTCATTTTCTCAGACTCACTGCCACAGATCATATTTATGAAAGAGCACAAGAGAAAAAGCGAAG